CTTGAGAAATCGAGCCAATTTTCGAGATTTGAAGGTTGGAAATTTCCAGCAGGAATTTTGCAATCTGGTCATAAATGATGTCCAGCTTTCGGTCTTGAATGTTTGGATCCAGGATAAACTCCTCCACTCCATCCTCGGTCGGCTTCTGTAGAAACTCACTCAAGTCGCACCCTCTCATGCGATCCATGATGATGAATGGGCCAATTTGTTGTGGGCTTTCCTCGGCGAGGCCCTAGATGCGGATCGGTGGAATGGGCATAGTGGTTTTCTCTCGGAGGAACTCCATCGTCATAACTTCATTCTTGAATTTTCATCTCGCCAAGGAGCATGTATGGTGACGGAGCAAAAATGAATAAGAACCCGCTCGTCCGTATCTCCACGCCTTACGCAAATGCTGATGTTGAAAGAACCCGCAAAACAGCCATCGTACTCTCCGCCGCCATTCCAACCAAGCTTGCTGTCAACAAAGGCCACAATATCCCCAAGCGAATGGAACAACGTGCGTACAAAGGCCGATCGGGCGTCTTCGACATTCTTGTCCGCGATGAAGTCCCACGGAGCTGTCAGCATCTTCTTCAATAGCGAAGAAGTGAGCAGAGCAAGAGTCGTTGGTGATTGGCCAGGTGTGTCATTAGAGCCCTGAGTAATATTGTGTGTATTTAATGATTCAGGATATTCAGGCGGTTTTTGAGATTATTTTTACCAACACGTGGGCAGTACGCAGGTCTTCCTGTCAGTCACCAGGAAAGGCGGTGAACACAACAAGCGTCGGGTGGCACCAACACGAACATCAGCGCCAACAGTGGTACGTGGTGTCACTCGCTTTACACCACTGAAAATCCCCCAACAAAGATGCCCGTTGGTCGACATTAGCACTAACTATGCTGTTGGTCTATGATTATTAGGTAAGCTCCTTCACGCATCTTGTGACGGAATGAAGGCGTACGGTGACAGTCGATATTTTCCAAGAGAGATTTTGAGCGTAGTGAAAACTATGTAATAGAAATGCTACACAATTTCAGCCGTCAAGTCATTGTCAGAGAACTGATCTACATCGAGAACTCTCAACCTACCAGAGTTCGTAAGCGAAGATGCGTCATAACATTCGCTCAATTCTTGTCCAAGCTGTTCGGCCCAAGCCGTCGTTGTAATATGCAGTGCTTGGCACAGTGGGCTGTCTGGGCTTTCTGGGCTCTCGACCAAACCTTAAACATCCCGAAGGAACCGAGATCCGTGCGCTACTCCAACTTGCGAAGATCTGACAATAAACCTCACTTGGTGCTGAGGTCTGGACTAATCTGTCCCAGTCTTACCATGGAGTCAACATGCTCTTTACAAAAGTCGGAGCTAGTTTGCAACCGAATTGTTCGGGCTGCTGATTTGCTACGCTGATGATCGAACCGGCTTAGCGCAGGTTCTTCCGATCTGATCTCAACGGTGCAACTAGCATCTCACTTTCTCATCACTACGCAGAATTCTCGACCTTAAACACACGCAGCGTTGTAGTCTAACCAAGAAACACAATTGCTTAAAAGCGAAGATGTCACCGAAGTTACGACCTCGCGCAAGAAAAGGCCCACGCTAGTGTTGATCATGGTGGATAATTGTCTGAACTTGCTACGGCGGACTCAATTGACAATCAAGGGCATCCCTGCGAACCTTAATTACCATCGACTTCGCCTCCTGTCGCAGAGGTGGACTCCTCTCCCTGCCCCCACGTAATGTCTGTGACCACACTACCTTCAATTCTTCCATCGCCTCTCGATATCATTTTGGTTATAATTAGGGACTTTTCATCGCCTCTCTACACGTACCTCCCGCCGCAGCGAACCAATGTGTGTACGTCACTTGGCTTCAGTGAACCGCGATAACCAACAAGGTTTGCAACCGTTCAGGCTGTAAGCCTGTGACTATCTAGGAAGCATCTCTGAATGATGTGACATTCATTCGACTTAACATTGGAAATGACGACATTAGAGCGCGAGGAAATGAAGGATCAAAAAGGCTGGATGCAGGTTAACAATCGGGTAATTATTCGTCCTACGGCCATGTCAGTTCAATACGACAGGTAGCTCGCCAAGCTAGATCCTAGTTACCCTGCCAGGCACCTTTTGGCCCCGCAAGGGTCCTCTGCCGGATGAACCGAGCCCGCAGGAACCGTACACACTGCTTATTCCATTCTGTCAACCCCAGGTCGATCTAGTATGCTATTCCTGGAGTCACCACAGTAGGTCAGTGGATATTCTGCCCAGTGTTAATAAGAATTGCACCCAGCTCTTAGGACAAAGAGATGAAGAGGCTGTTGCCACACCCACCGTATGTAGAGGTATGAGGCGGTGTTTAGCGTAGTGCCAAGAAAATGTCCCTCGATTCTCGTACCACATGCTCAAATCTGAAGATGTTGACGCTCAGAAAGGCAAGTCTGGCTGCAGAGAACCGGAAGACCCAGCCGAATGTTGGGTTGGCATGCGCTTAGCTTGTAGGCGATAGAGTAAGTGGCCAAGAAGGTTTAGTAAACATATACTCTACACTCCCCGAGAATGATTCGAAGATTCCGGGTTCACGCGAAAGATGTCCCGCAAATCCCAACTTGGGCATACTGATGTTTTTGACATCATCAAATGTTCAAGGCCAAGACATCGCGATATTTCATGTTCACATGGAACTCCACAGCGGCCATGGACCGTGGTTCGCGAACTCCGAGCTATTCACTGACTTGCCTTCGACAGCGCCCGTATGTCAGATCTCAACAAACGACAACAGCATTGACAGGATTGCGATTTCGGATGCTCGGAGATGCTGTCGTTTGCTAGCTTTCATCCACATCTATAAAGGCGGTAACTGTTCTCCTCTAAATCAGCCACATTATATCAACGAAATCATCCCGACTTTTCTCACTTTTTCTACGGTGGCCTCAGGGTACCATCCACTCTTTACTACCTCAAATTCTTTCAATGTCATTCAGGATGTTTGGAAACCAACCACTCATTCATCTGTTCTTTCTCGTGACTAATCTTTGGTCTCTCATCTGCGCCGGAGCTCCTACATCACTCATCTATGTGTATCGCGGGGATTCCAGATCACCGGCCGAGATCCAGGAGGCGGGTGGCTTTCTCCCCAAGGGCCAAAGCGCTTTTGGTGCCATCGCTCCAGATATCAGTCTCTTCAACCACGCAAAAGCTTCTTTAGACGATAGCTCTCGTGATGATTACGGCTACGTCTTTACCTCATCCTCTATCGATATTGCGGAACGCTTCCTCTACATGAGACCTGCAGGTTACATTTACAAGATCCACGTTACCGCCAACATGATTGACATCATCGGCACCTTGGGCAAGCATAACCCCTTGAACGACGAGCCTGAATACGCTGCTCTGGGCGGTATCAAGTTCGAGCAAATCGTGTCTTGGAGGGCCTACGAGAACGGCAAGTCTGGTGAGGAGGAGCTCAATAAGGAGTTCAACGAGAAGGTCTACAGCGCCACCGTCGCTGGAGGCGTGCAGTATCAGCTTGAAGGATTTCTTAAGACCAACAAAGGTTGCGAAGGCCAGCCTGGAAGGACTTTTCGTATCACCAAGCGTCGTTTCGGCTTCGGTCTCGGATCTCTCAAGTCTGGCTTTGGAGCCCTCAGGGGCATCAAGGGAGTCAAGTCCATTTCTAACGTAGGAGACCGTTATGACTATCGCCAATTAGGTGATGCTGACATCTTTGATAGGTTTTCAAGTCCAATCCGTTGAAGAAGGGTCCTAAGACGTCTCCTTTCGGCTCAGCTCCGCAGGCCCCGGTCAAGTCAGGTCCAGGACGAAAGGTGCCTGACCTCGATCCTACGCCTGCCCCTCCTATTAACCAGGGCCTTCCTGCCGACAAGAGCCCCATGGACAACACTCCGGCTACCAAGACTCCTGGTGTAGACAAGAGTCCTGACAATGCTCCTGGAGAGAAGAGCCCCGTTGACAAGACACCTGTCGACAAGACTCCGTCTCAGGCGGCTCCCAGCGTCAAGCCCGATATTGATGGCACTCCTCGACAGCAGCCTGGTGACATGCGACAGGGTCCTGATGACCAAGTTCCTGCCGATGGGACTAACGGACGCCTAGGAGGTGTCGGGGGATCAGGAATGCCAATCGCCATAAACCCTTTCCCGGCAGCTGGATTCCCCATGTCACCCTTCCCAATGACTCCATTCCCATCTACCACCGGCACAGACACCACGATGGACACTCCGGTTGACAGCACGCCTGTTGATGGAACCACCACCGATGGCACCTCTACTGATGGTACCTCTACTGATGGTACACTCGCTGAGGGGACTTCTGCTGACGGCACCTCCACTGATGGCACGACGGTCGATGGCACAACTCCGGTTGATGGCACGCCTGTCCCTACTACCTCTACTACACCTCTTGACGAAACTCCAGTTGAGGACACACCGGTGCAGGAGACACCTGCTCATGACGTTCCCAGCCAAAAGGCTCCGGTTACCGACACACCTGTCAAAGACCCTCCTAGTAAGGATACTCCCACCGACGACGTCCAAGTCAAGGACACGCCAGTGAAAGAGACGCCCGCAAAAACAACACCTGGAAAGGACACGCCTGTCCTGGACACTCCTGTGAGCCAGCTCCAAGCTCGTCAGGCTCAAACTTGCGCCAGCCCCAAGTCCGCCTACGAGATTGCGAAGGCCTACTTGGCGAGTGTGAATATGTGAATGAGCACAGTCGCCAAGCCGGAGGCTTGTTGAATAATTTAGGGAAGACGAATGGTGTTAACGATAATGCTGCGGGCGCAAAGACTTGAAACGTGTAATTTGTTGCGATGGACCCTTTTTCATTTGTAAAAGATCTGCCGCGGAATCCAACCACATAGACTTTAGATCGGTATAGACAAAATATTTTTACACCCCTACTAGGCTAGTACCTCTTCGCGCTTGTTCATGTGCCTGTTTACTATTTGTCTATCACGCTGTTGTCCTTAAGACAACGACTTTCGTGCATAAAACCTTATCTGTGTCTTTTTTGGTTGTCCATCTCAATCTGAACAGATACCTCTTGCGTCTTCATGATGATGTGCTTCTGGCTGTTGTCGTCATCATTCAGCTGTACCCAGTTGTCTCGGTTACCCGTCTGGCAGTTCGACACCGTCATCGCCCGTCCACTAAGGTTGTTCAACTTAACTCCATTGCTTCCCTGGTACCCAGAGTCTCCATGCAAGGGGGTTGAACCGGTGTTGTTGTACGAGCCCTTCGAAGACTTGTCAAGCCAGAACTTGAGGAGTCCTCGGAGGGATGGCAATGAGCCTGCGATGATGCCGATACCGCATTCAAAGATTGACCAGATGACGATGTTCGCAATGTTGTCTGCAAGTAGATTGGGCATTAGTCTCCAGTTCTCTCAATGGTATGGTGGTCTGCTTGAAATGCGGTTCGGCACTCACGCAAGTAATCGTCTACAACGTTGTAGTACTGGAGATATGGTAGACGAATGATGGTAGCAGCGCTTGCACTTTACTCTGATTAGCAAGAGGTTGGATGCTGTTACGGCGGGGAACTTACATGGCACCCAAAGCAAGAACTGCACACACCGAAGCCTTCACTCTGGACTTCATCTGTAACCCACATACAACCACAGTCGGCACGATAGCGCAAGTCCAGTCAGTGATGATCGCCATCACCGAAATCAGATAGCTGATACTGGTGATAATGTTGGTCGGTGCGCAGGACCCGTCAAGAGACTTGTCCCAAGTGTAACTGACGGGCCTGCAGACGGCTATGACAGCGATGAAACCAATCGTGGTGCTGAGGATCGACGCGATCATGGCAGTCCAGAGAATGACGCGGTACCTCTTCCTGTTTGTGATCCGGAAAACGGTGAAGCAGATGCTGGCTTTGATGAACGGCAAACTCCAGGCGTAGGTGATTTGGAAGAAGACTAGCCACTGCGAGACGGTCAACTTCGGTTTGCAGAGAGTGATGGATTGAGGGATGTTCACCTTGATACCTGCCACAGAGTTCCATTCCTCTAGACGCGCATCTTTCGTCCCCATACCCGCATAAACAGCGATGGAAGTAAAGGTGCAGCATGCCAGGAAAATCCCCTTCAGATGTCAGATTGCTTCTGCAGTTTGTGGTGTCAAGGCAGTTCAACTTACCAACCCGACTATCATGAGAAAGTCGTCAAGTCCAAGAGCGCCCGTGTTCTGACGAGCCCAGACACGAAGGATGACAACGATCAGGGAGATGGCGCCGAGGCAAATGGTCACACCCAGGGTGGCCACACCAATTGGGTCCGGCTGGGTGATCCAGTTCACCTCCATCTCGTCGAACGGTTTTGCAGCCATTTTGATCGAGAACCTGATGCCCGGGATTGAAAAACGAATGAACAGGAAAAAAGGAGAGACCAGCTATCATGGACGTCGCTCAACATCATCCACGAAGAATGACTGGAAATGTACTCAAAAACGAAAAAGGGGCAAACCGCGAAGTAGCATCATCGCGAGCTTCGCGTTTGAGGTGGGTAGATGCGATCGACAAACAGCCATCTCAGAGTCCCATCGCCAACGGCTTCCCGTTCGAACCCGCCACCAAGTACAACCCGAGGGCCGCCATTCTGAATATCCCAGGAGTCATTTCGCTATTTCATGCTTCATGGCATCGAACCCTTGCAGTCCAGGGAACGCGCAACATTACCAGCCACAACAGGCAGAGATCCACAGCCGTCTTCACCGACGTTTCTCGGAGATGCCAAGGGCTAGAGTTGAAAGATCTTAATCCATGTCCCAACAGAAGTCTCAAGGAGAAGAGTCCCGCTTTGATGGTAACTATGTGAGGTTATCATGGCTTCCAACAGTAGTTCAAATCCCGAGGTCCTGGGAAATTGTGAGTCCATCCATGATCTTGCCTCTTCGGAACACGGACGGGGGCGACAACAAGGAGAACAGGGTGCTGTTGGAACAGTTCCTTTGAGTTGAGATCCCACGATCTGCGAGCCACTTTAGTCCTGTGGTACTCGCGGTGGGGATACAAGAGGTCGTTGGCGGCGAATGGGTCAGACTGAAGGGATATCATGCCTACAGGATTGTTCTCCCCGGGACAGTTCAACGAGGTCATACACCGTTGGAACACCCTAACATCTGATACACCCCTGTCGGATCCTGATGGATGAGCGGAGCTTCCAAGGCGGAAGGCCTCCCGGGTGAGAACTCTGTTCAGGCAAGTCTCGGTTGCGGCTCTGTTGGAAGTCAACTTGCACTTCCCTGCACTTGCCCCCACGACTCAAGGGTGCGGTTGGCCTTGAGTTGTCATCGAGGCCGTGCAACATCGACGTGGAAGTGAGGTCGTGGAGTGGGGAGTTTCCGACCGAACAAATATCTACCCCTGTTCCAACAGGAACGGCTCATTTGCATCCATGATGGACCCTTGCAACGGTTCTGCACCGCAGGAACAACACATCGAGCAACCGCAAGCAGTCATGTGGTACAACATGAGATGAAGAAATTCCTCAACGGTATTTGAACCACCAGTTTGGTAAACATCGTCTTTTGTAACCTCACTGGTCAAAAAATCCTTTTGCTGTCTCTGCTCTGTTGGATGAAGTTATTCTGCTTCGCCTTTGGCGTGGCACGTATTACCAATTCCTTGTCCAAGTTCTGATCCCCTGTACCAGTAACCAGCAAGTGCAGTTTGCCCCTGTCGCTCTTGTTGTGGGTTATGTTGTGGATTGTGCTCAAAAATGTTGTCCTGTCATCCGTAGACCTACGTCTAAGAAAAGAGCGTAGCATCGTGAACCAGCATGCGCGTCCCGTATCTGTGCCTCCTCGGTTGTGATGGAGCGGGCCCGCCCGTACAGCGCCGATCTGCCATCTTCATTGCGCTCCGACCCTTTTCAGAAAGAATACCGATGCAAGAAGGACCAACAACCCTCTCACGTCCCAGAAAGAGTAAACGCCTGGCCGATCAGCCCGGGTGCCTTTTCCGCGTGTCCAGTGTGACGAGTAATAATTTGAAACTCGGCTATTGGGCGACAAGATTGCCCTGCAGATGAGATGACTTTTTGACGAGATGTCGTTGGTTCAGACGCAGGCGGGGTGCGGAGGTCGAAGCCGACTCCGAATCCTGTTGGAACCCTTTGGCACGGGTTATCCACAATTATCCCGCCAGGGATCGCGCGCGGACGTCTTCCCCGAGGGCTGGAGTGGCCGGGACCTTGGTTGGGGAGCTCCATTTCTTCAGCGAGGAGTCGTTGAATGGGCGGCTGCCGGGAGAGGGATGGGACACGTCGGGAGGGAAGGAGTGAAGGATTTCATATGCCGGGCTCTTCATTACGTCTAGACGTTGCGGGATGCACATGCTGGATTGACAGGTTGAAGAAGAGGTATCAATTTGGGAAAGATCAGCTCAAGTTCAACGGTGCTCTAACGGCCACGAATTATTCACAATTGCATCAACTCCGCTTCTTAACTGCCAAGCTCTAATGTACACGTGCAATTACCCATCCACCGCGCAATCATCCCTCGTGAGGTGCACGCACCGTGCCAACACAATCATCCTTGCGCGTAACAAAGATGCCCTCGCGAACCTCGCCCTCCAATCCACCGAGGGCACCCGTCGTGTAGAAGCCGAGCATGCGCTTGATCCTGTCGGACAGCTTGGCCTCGACATCCTTGCGCAGGGACAGGAAGTTGTTCTCCTGCTGGCGGATGAAGGAGCGCATGAAGAACATGAGAATGACGGGGCGCTCGCCGGCCTCCTCGCGGTTGGGGCCGGTGGCGTGCCACAGACGGCTGTCGAAGACGAGCGCAGTACCCGCCGGGCCTTCTGCGGCGATGGTGCCGTCGACGGTGAAGAGGTCGTCGGGCGCAATCTGGCCGAGGTGAGAGGCGGGGAAGACGCGAGTGCCGCCGTTCTTCTCCGTGATGTCCTCAAAGTACCACATAATGTTCAGGCCGAAGGCCATGTCGCGAACGGGCGGCTGGATGGCGACCTGGTCGGTGTGCAGCTGCATCGGCACGTTCCCGGGACGCGCAATGTTGGCGCTGTAGCTGTGGATGAGCGCGTGCTCGCCCAGAAACCAGGGGACGATCTCGTCAATCAGGGGGTGGTTGAGCAAGTCCAAAAACTCCTCGCCCTTGTTGATGAGGGTCCAGATGCGCTGGTTGGGGGCATTCGGGCCGCCATCGGCAGCAGACACACCTGCCTTGCGCTCGCCGGCCGCCTGCTCCTGCGTGGCCTTCTTCAGGATGGCGACCTGCTCGGGGGTGAGCGCGTTCTTGACGAGGCCGTAGCCGAACTCCTTGACGTCGCGCTTGACCTGCTCGATGTCCTCGGTGGGCTCGGGCAGGCGGGCGAAGGCACCGGGGACGACCTTCTTGGGCGGGACGGGCGGGTTGGGGGTGAGCAGGTCGGCGAACTTGATGGCGACGGGGACGTTGCCCTTGGGCATGGCGGCCTCGTGGAAGAAGGCATCCTTGAAGAGGCCATAGCGCGGCTCGAGCTTGCCCTCGTAGAATTGGGCGATGTACTCGGGCTTGATGGTGATCTTGGTGTCGGGCTCGTCGGGGCAGGAGGTCAGGAGCTTGGCCTCGGGGCCGCGGGCGTCGAGGAAGACGGGGGCGCGGTCGCCGAAGGTGAGGGAGGCGAGGGCGTTGAGCTGGGAGAGGAGGGGCAGCTTCTCGGTGATGACCTCGTGCGCGCGGGCGACGTCGGCCTCGACCTTTTGGGCGAGGTTGCTGTAGGACTGCTTGCTGAAGTCCAGCCCGGGGGTGAAGGTCTTTCCTGGTGCGACGCCGGCCATCGTGATGTTGTTGTATAAGCCAAAGATGAACAAAATTGGGGGTATCAATATGAATCAGAGAGATGAGTGAGAGACGAGCGCTGACGATGAGCAAACGGAAGAGCAAAAGGTCGGCGTCAGCGGTCTGATTATGAATGTCGACGAAAGACCAACCCCAAGCTGGTGTCCATTGGATCAGAATGAGCCCGCGCCATTGCCGCTCACAACTCTCATTTACTAGGCTCTCGAGGTTGAGCTGGGAGGAGACCCTGCAGTGAGACGGCCCCGGCAGCAGCTCCAACGGCCGGTGGGGTCGTACGAGTGAGGGGTTTTGCAGCATCCTGCACATCCTCACTTGGAGCTTTCGTCGTCGTTGGCTCAGGGGTGTTTGTGCGCTGCTCCTCTGCGGTCCGGGGTGCGGTTGAGGTTTCATTGCTCGCGGAGTCGACCCCGGCCGCCGGAGACGTGCTGCTGGGCCGCAGCTCCTCGCGTTGGTCCTCCTCGCGTCTGGACGGGTTCTCCGCGCCGGCGGTGGGTCTCTGGGCCTGCTGCTCGGCTACAGTTGCATTCGACGGGCGGGCGTCTGGGAGCGCTGTTCGAGGCGATAGGATGCTCATGGTTGGCGACTTTGGTGGCTCCGTCGAGGGGCCCGGCTGTTGTGTTGGAGGTTGCTGGGTGGTAGTAAACGGGTCAGGCTGGATCGACGACGGGTCGCTTATGTTTGCCGGCTCGTGATTCTGATGAGTCTGACTCTGAGTTGATGACTCGGCTCGAGGCGACATCTCATCGCCCTCTGATTGAGACTGAGGCGGTGGTGGTGCATCTGGTTGGTTTCGGTCAACGAGCTGGCCCGACGCATCGCGCTTGCGACGCGTCCTCCGACCCTTGAGAGACGGGTCGAAGATGGTATCCTTGTTCTTGTACCAGTTGTGGATTGAGCCGTAAGGAATCTTGAACCACTCAGACGCCTCGTCCAGCGTCGGCCGCCGATACTCGCCTTCAAGACGCTCTTCGCCGCCGCGCAGGCGGATAGGCTGGCCGGGACGATTTTTGACGCGGTGATGCTCCAGGAACATCAAGACCTCCCGCTTCTTCTCGATGGTGTATCTACGCTCATGTCGCAGGACCGGTTTGGGAGCAATATAGGGCTTAGGCTTGGGTTTTGGGCCTCGTTTCTTCTTCACTGGTGGCCCCTCCTCGCCGGCCGGCTGGATCGGCGACGGAGGAACATGGACGACGGGCGGCTGTTGTGAGTGCATGATGTTCGGGTTTGGGGTGAGTAAAGACTCGCAAGGATAACCCTTTGCAGAATTGTTGTGGTGAAAACGAAAAGGGATGGCCCTGAGCTTCACCGCCTGCTTCAATAGGCCATTTTGCCGGGTTTCGCAATTTGGCGAATTTTTCCGGTGTGCGACCCAGCGAACTTATCTTCCGTCTTCCGTCAGTCTTTGACGGAAATTCACTGTGGGGTTTGAGCAAGGGTCCCAATTCAAGCGCACAAACGGAAGGAGCTATGCAGCTCTGGACGATGCACTCCAGAAGATTCATGAAGCAAAGATTGGCTCTTCATTGTTGATGAGATGCAAATGAGTGACCAGTCTGAGTGAGAGCGTCTCCTGAACCAACTTGAGGGTATCACCGTTTGAGCCATTCGGGGTTGCGAATCCACAGGTGATATTTATTTCCAGCATTTTCATCCTCCAATCCCTGCTCGTGGTCCTAAACCCGTTTCTCCTGGCTGTGTACCTGATAATAGTCGGCCGAAGCGCTTCTTTCAGCCAACAAGTCTTTGACATACTTGACCAGCAAGGTTCCAACTTGTCTAGCAATGAATTGATCGCCCTGGTCATTTGGGTGAACACCGTCCCTGTTCATCGAGTCGGTGTACCCAGCTTTCGTTGAACAGTCAGCAAGCATGATTGGTGAGTCCGTCATATTCTGCTGCGCCGCCCAGCCAGGGATTTGTTGGTTCAGCGTGGTGATGCCACCACCGTTGAAGGACAGTGGAATCAGAAGGTCGACCTAGCCATCTGTCAGTAGGCGAGCCATAGTCAATTTCCAGATGATCTGAGACTTACAAGAATCTTCATGCGCGGGTTCGACGCCCTCATGAGGCCTACCATCTTGGTGTACGACGCGATGATGTCGTTGGTGGTCCGGCCCTGGGCAACATCATTCGTGCCAAGCATGTACTGCACAATGTCAGGCTTGCTGCTGGCCAGCCACCCCTGAAGGTACTGGTTCGCGATGTTGATCGACAGCCAGCCCGAGTGGCCCTCGTGGTGAAGGTCAAAGGAGCCCGACTGAGCCCGACAGTTCTGTGGGTTATTCGTCATGGAGCCCACGAACTGCACTTTGTCGGCGAGGTTCTCCTTGACGAGCATGTCCCAGACATATGCCCGCCAGCAGGTGATCTCAGTGATTGAATCGCCCAACGGCACTTTGTAAACGTTAGAGCGGAACTGTGATGGATTCAGACTTGCGATGTTGCTGACTGATTTTGATTTTCTGCGCCGCTGCGCTTGCCACCAGGGCAATAACGGACAACAACTTGAAGGGGAGCATTTTAGTTTGTCGTCTTTCAGAGATGCGTGAGGGTCAAAAGAGACATGCGGTCAGGGCTGGCCTGGAACGCTATGTGAAGGCATTTGATCGAAGTCATCACCGAAGTTATATAAGTTGACGGGCAACCCGAACTCCAGCCCAACCCCGCTAATCGATTTCCTTACATGGCGTTGATTTAGGCAGTATGTGCGCATGTTCCCCTGGATACGAAGAGCTCGCGCTTTGTTCTAAGCCGGGTAAATATGGAACTCGGACCCCCGAATCCCTTCAATACCACGCTAGCAGAACAAAGAGCTTGGCTGTGGCACATGACTGAGCCAACTAATCAATTTGACCAGACTTTACATCTCCGCTCGTCCGTTGTTACACCAATATGCGGTTTCCAATATTCCCAAAGTGACATTATGTGGTCGCGATTTCATAAAACTCCGGCACCCTGCCGGATACAAGCAAAAGTTCATGAAGACATTCATCTTTTGGCCTCGGATAACGGGACTTACTTGGTGATACTCTGGTTATGAGGTTGGTTTCACCCCTACTTCCAAGTTTACCATTCCTACAACGTAATCGTTGAGCTCCTCCTAAGGAAACCTCAGGATGAGATCAAGATTCACGGCGCTCTAGTTTCGATTCTTTCTCAAGAAAATGTTGTTCAAGCATTAATATTCTTTCTAATCATGCCTGCTACTGGGTATCAACAATATTCAGTCACACTGTTTCCCAATTCCCCCATCCATCCACAATTTAACCCCTACTTTTGACCTTGCCTTTTGTCGGCAGGATATACTCCTGATCCAATCCTGTACTGTAATTCAAATCGTTTTAGCGTTTTAGCATCCATTTGCCAGTTTTATAACCAGTCTTCATCGTCCGGTAAACCGCCTCTCAGCATACCGCAACGGCACGTACAGCAGCGCACTCAGGAAAAAAGCAACCTCGAACCCAATATCGCCCGTCGTCGCCGCAATAGGTCCCGTAAACCAGACCTGCGAGATACACGGCACGACCAACCCAAAGCTCAGCACCGCCGACGAAATCGCCGCCGCGCCCCAGGGCAACCTCCCCGGCACGTCCCAAACATCCGCATCATACGCCTTCGCGTTAGCCTTCCTGAACACAAAGTGCTCCGCAACAACAATGCCCACGAACGAGGCGGACCAGTACCCGATGAGCGCGATGAAGTTCTCCAGACTCAGGAAGAAGTCGCCGGCGGCCTTGATAGCGATGGGGATGATGATGGCGGTGACGATGATGGAGAAGATGTAGCGCGGGATGCGGAAGGCCGGGATGAGGGTCTGGAAGTTGAGGGTGATGGCGTACATGGTGCCGGAGATGTTGGCGAGCAGGGTGAAGGCGAGCACGACGAGGATGAACTTGCCGAAACCGCCGGCGGGCGCGAGCATGGCGCCGAGGACGCCGCCGACGAGGGTGTTGTCGAAGCCGGTCTGCCAGGCGGGGATGTTGCCCATGGCGCCGCCGATGGCCGCGCCCAGGGTCATGAGGAGGATGGTGGGCACGACGAGGCCGAGGAAGCTGTAGGCGAAGATGCGGTGGCTGGTTCGGGTAAGTAAAGGCTGTTCATGGAAATAGGTTATGAGGATAATAGCCACTTACGATGAGAGGCGTGGCGTGGGGTCGAAGTACGTCGTCAAGTCTGATGCGATACAAGCCCACGGGATCATGTATGATGCAATGACACCACCAAAGCTGAGAACCCCAGCCGCAGTCGCGGGCTCCGGGGTCGCCTGGGCCTTGAGCTGGTTTCCACCGCAGCCCACAGCGATGATGATGGCGACCAGAGCCGGCATCCACGCGTAGCCCTCATAGAAGTGCAGCACGTTGAAGCCGCAGAAAGAGATCAACAGGGCGGCAACGCCGATGAGAACGATGCCAACGGCGGTCGACAGGTCGCCCTCGGACACGGCAGAGAGGCATTGGCCTCCGATGACGCAGATGATTACACAGAAACCCGTGAGAGTAGCCAGGTTGAGAATGACAGGGACAGACACAAGATAGTAACTAAGGATTACTCGTTAGCTCACCGGCCGTGACTACAGTAACGATCACATGAATCGCAAATCAGATTGCAAACTCACCCAAAGCTGAATCGAGCCTGGATCATCTGGCGCATACCAGTCTTCGGGCCCAAAGTCGACAGGTACGCCGGTGCGAGGGTCGAGAGCAAGTTGAAGAAGAGAATGACGAGCGCCGAATCTCGGAGGCTGAGGCCGAAAGACACCGGGCCCAGCATACCGAACGTGATTCTGCCAAGAATGTCAGCAAAACCTATGCATCAACGACTCCTTTCTCAAATGATTTCCACTCACGCCAGGATGTTGGTATTGATCGAGCACCAAATCGTAAAGGCATTAAAGTACTTCGTCGCGGTCCGGGCCTCTATCGGAATCGGCTCGATGCCGCCCTCCTCGACCCGCCCGGCCGTCAACACCGTGCGGAGAAAGCCTTTGGCCTTATGTCCGGCCGCCGCCGGGGGCTGCTCAGCGCCGGAGACCTCTGTCGCCTGCTTGTCATCATGCGCCGGCTGGGCGTGCTGCGTCTCCAAGTCGTTCGCCATGTTGCTCGTTGGACCCGAAAATCTCAGGTCAGCACAACAACAAAAATAGAGAACGATCAGGTCGGGACAATGTTCTCCGCGGGCAACCTTGAGGACGCAGAAAAAGAGGCGAACAAGGTTGACTCAAACTGGGACCCCGACTGACACAGACAGTCAGAGGTCAGAGAGATGGCAAAAAATTTGCTCCGGCCGGATGAACCCGCAAGTGTGCTGTGTGTTTACATAATTCTCCTCATTTATCGACAAGCCTAGATGCGACTCTGGTTAGTCACTCTTTGCGCTAATGAACATCTTTTTGTTGCGGGATTTTTAGCGCGTTGGATTGGGCGATCTTTAGTGGTTTACGGGGGCCCGTTTGCTCTCGCTTGCGGCGATAAGCAGGGTGCGTGGACAAAGAAGCTTTAATTGCACGATGGAACGCCAGAAAAGTCAATTGCCATCATTTTGTTTGCGTGGCAAATCTATGGCCTTTGAGAGCTCCAAGGCGAGAGTCTTATCAGTAGAATACCATAGATACATTGTGTATACGCGCGGAACACTCTGATTAAGGTACGTTGTTAGGAGTGAGTGATGCTGTTTGAGAAATACATGCTGATCCTCTCTTCTCCTCTCCGTCCGCAAATCTGCTTTGCGATCCTCTTCTAGCGTTGTGGTATCATGGATAGGCATTGCCTTACGTGCCTGTGTGATCTGTCAGTAACAATCTTGCGTCAATGTTCGAAGGGTGGTCGTACATGCGCTTTTGCAGCACTTCGCCACCTCGATTCCCTTGGTACCAGTGGTGATGCACTCTGTCTGACAAGGAAGCTCTTCGGACGATTGACAGGTGAAGCTAGACGTAAAGCCTTGCGCGACCGCCGAAGAATTTGATTCGCACAAGCTGGCGGTGGCCTTCTTGCAGCGAGCCGTAGCGCCAAGAGCCATCGAGACGAGAACGAGAATCTTAGGTACTTTCATGATGACGAGTTGATGAGTGAGGGGTTTCCGCAGGTTCAGTCTTTCAGATGAGCGGTTGCATTTATATCCAATATGCAACCCAAAACTCTGTTGTGTAGATAGAGAACTACTGAAGGATTGAAGGGTCGTCCAGCGTATTTATGTTGCCTCAGTCGTTGTTTCATGAACCCAATGCCAAGACCACTATTTGGAGTTGAAGTTGAGACAATAACTTGCCGTATGTTTCTAAACAAATTCAAGGATGCTGTAGGTAAATGATCCAGCAACCAAGGCAATGAAGGCCGCGCTTGAGCCTCACTTCTTGTTAGTGCTGGGCCACTGATGTGGGAGGCAATCAATTAACCCAGGCCTCCACGAACCAGACACTTTTTTTCCTGCATTTTCACGAGAGTGCTTCCACTCAACCATCGTTGATGGCTATTTTTACCAGTGGCTCTTGCGCCGTTGTCGCGTGTCATGCGCTCAAAATCTGGGAACCAGGACATGGTCATCAGATGACACAGATTCGCCGCGATTCATCTGACCAACATGCAATTTTCCTTTGCCCCTTTATGTCACTGTTCAGAAGACATTGTGAGACCAACATGGGAGCACTAGCACGCACTAATGCCTCGGGATCAATCGCCCGAATTGCAGCCTTTCTATTCGCCCAAGATCTATATCTATATCATTTGCCAAATACGTAGGAAATCCGCCGGTTGCTAGTGTTCAACCTCTCATTTTCATCACTCATTCAAGCCTCAAAAATAGTCAAAGGGGGTATCTATGAGCTCTCGAACTTGTTAAAGATGCTCTCAAAGTCCTTCCAGTCGTGCATAACCTCGAACGCGCCGAGCTCCTCGGAGAACAGCTTGACGTGCGCAGCGACCTTCTCCTCGGGGTTCTCCTCGTCGTAGTAGGGGCCGACGTAGCCCAGCAGGGGGATGCCGGCGTTCTTCGCCGCGGTCGCGCCGCTCCTGCTGTCCTCGATGGCGATGCACTCGCTGGGCTTGAAGCCGAGCACCTTGCAGGCGTGGAGGTAGATGGCGGGGTTGGGCTTGGAGGTCGGGGGGTCGATGCTGCTGGCGGCGGAGAAGATGCCCTCGTTGGGCTTGCCGAAGTACTGGTCGATCTTGATGGTCTCGACGGAGGCGACGACGCGGGGCATGGCGGACGAGGAGACGATGGCCTTGGCGTACTTGCCCTCCTTGTGGATCTTGTCGAGGACGGGGACGACGTTCTTGCAGGGCGCGGCCTGCTTGCGCAGGTACGAGATGGTGAGCTCGAGCTCGCGGGCGGTGTAGGTGTCGAGCTCGTCGGCGGGCATGGTGAAGTTGTGCACCTCGAAGAGGCCGGCCATCATGCTGGGGAAGTTGCGGCCGACGTACTTGTGCATGAGCTCGACGCCCTGGTAGCGCTTCTCGATGCCGTACTTCTCGAGGATCTCGTTGGCGAGCTGGGCGCAGGCGGTGAAGGCCGAGATTTCGGACAACACGAGCGTGTTGTCGCAGTCAAAGAGGATGCACTTGACCTATGGCTCTGGTGGTAAGCATCATTGTCTTCGCAGGACGTGAACGGAGCTCCGGAATGGGCTCCGATGTTACTCACCTGAGGCATTTTGGCGGTTGAATGGCTTGAGACTTTGAAATCTGGGTAGAAAGTTGCTGATGAAGAGGAAGAGAAGAAAAAAAAGATCACAGAGCTGCGAGCTGTTGATTGTCAATGGCAGATTTGTAGTGATCGGCGGCCTGTGACAAGGTGGGGTGGGAATCAACAGGAACCATGCGCATGGAGGGGCAATGGAGGGGCAAGTGGGTTCCAGAAAAAGAGCGCAGGCAGGTTCCAAGCAGACTGCATTTCATTGATCACCATTCAGATGGATGGGCGAGTCAAGGTTCTCGGGAAGGTCAATGTTGTGCCTGATTGGTATATGGGGTCATGGCCATCGTCTCAGAGCGGAAAGCATCTTTTTCTTTCTCTCTCTGTCTCTTCAAGCATCGAGGAGATCTACGCGAGAGGATCGGAGTACGCGCCGTTGCGATCAACGCTGTGCCTCTTCAGATACCCGTCCAGGGACCACGTTGAGGACGAGATAACAACAGATTTCAGGTCCCGCTCTGCCGAGCAGGCAGCCAACGAGAAGCTTGCATTTGAGCGACTGAAACCTTCGGTCAGCACGTTCTGCAGCGGAATGATGTCATTTGGTCCCTTCGCCATTGGCGGCTCTTTATCCCTACAAGGTGTCGAAAAAAGCCCGCGTCCACATTCCGCCATGGCCGCCGGGAGCCCGAGGTCTTTTACGTACTGGGATCAACGCAGGACAGAATTCCGGCATGACGTAGTGCGCAGACATATTTCAGCGAAGTGGGTAATTAAACTGGACTATCGCTTGACTCGCGTCTTTTTCTCTCTCTGCAGACTCGGTGGTTGGCCCGAGTACGGTCCGATTGTGGAGACGCCAACCCGGCGGTTTTCGCGGCTCTGAAAATTCGGCACGGTAGTTGCGGATGCCGGCCGAGGGTGAATCGAGATACGCCGATTCAGGTGTTGAAGTCTGAAGTGTTGATATTTTCCCAGGTCTCATTAGGCTCACCGAGGACAAAGGCGTCCAAGCTTCCGATGCCGCCTGTAACCTGTGTCGCCGGTCGTGTCAGTAAGCTGACAATCTCTAGAAACATTAAATGACTTCTGGACTTACCAAAGAGTCAAATTGGCCCCAATCGCTGATTTGGAAGAATCCGGTGTTTAAAGCGTCAATTGAAGTTGCAGGGCCAGCATTGCCATTAACTAGCTGGTCCTCGGTGGGGTTCTCTATCTGAGATGTTGCGGCATTTGACCTGGTGTGCAGGTCGTCAAATTGGCTTCTCGCTCTTACGTTTTCATTTTCAGTTGCCATTGATGAATTTCTCGCTGTCATCATTTCGCTAGGCACGTAGTCTCCACCAGCCTGGATGGGTGAAGTAGAAGCCAGGTAGTTGTTGTTCCGGAGAACTTCGAGGCGCAGTTCTTGCAAAACCACCCCATAGCGTTGCGTCAAGGTACCCTTCGCCGAGTTTCTCTCATATAGAGAATGGCATTTCGAAGCCAGCTGAAAGCAAAGAGCATACTTCTCAGGCACCTCGGCCCGTTGTTGGATCGCGTATACGTAGAGAATTACCACAGCACTGAAGCCGTAGTATGGAATGAACTAGGACAGGTTTTGTGTCAGTACTCATCTCAAGCCTTGGGGGAAGTCAGCTTACAAACAAAGTGCTGTAAAATTCCCCAGCAGAGTCAATGGTGTCAATGTGCTCAGCAATACTCATCGCCGCATCAATGCAACTTTTGATGTTTTGTTGGGTTTGTTTTTGTTTGGTTGATAGAAAGCTTTCATCATTGGAGTCCACAGTAGAAAATGTCTTCAACAGAAACGGCCGATAAACGAGGATTTGGGCATGCCAGTACGCAAGCTTGAGAACGTCGCGTTGACGCAGAACCAACTTAACGAAAATGGCAGAGCTGCCGCCGGCATCCAGAAGATAGGATATATGGTCTCGCCAATCCGATAAGGTTTTGCTGAACTTATCGGCCAATTCAAAGTGCTGTTCAGTAGATGGAGTACGTATTCCGTAAAAAGCCCGGAGAATTCGTGCAAGGATTCGAGATAACCTGAGTAGCACTTTAGCTTGCCGTCAACTCGGCGAAAGATCGAGTCTTCGTACCTTATTTGAGCCACGCTGCCTGAAGTTATGGAAGGCCCGCAGACAATCGGCTTAGGTGACAAGCCAAAGCGGAGTTGTTCGTCATCAATGCATAGGGGCAATTCCTGGTCGATGTCCTCATCATGGAACGTCATGGGCCGACCTAAAGCGGCGCTTAGATACGTGTTGAGATTATACGCACACCAAAACGTTCTTTTCCGGCACTCCAAGTCAATGTGATTGGCAAGATCTGTTGACTTGTCTTCCAGTATGGACTTCCTATGTATCCCGAGAGCTATGGCGAGATGAGCCGTAATACCAAATAGAGTCCAACAGTGATTAAGTCGGGACTGGGCTAAGAGATAGAAGCACTGGGCTAGGCGTGCCTGCACGTGCGCCAAGCTTATCTGGCCCTTCTCCATCGACAGTTGGTGTTCTGCAACGGCAAAGAACCGAGCACTGACTTCAGTTGACTCAGCTGTCGAATTCTTACTGTCAACCGACAAGCGGCTGCGGTAATTATTCGAATGAGCAAACACCATGAAGAGGATAGCCGTTCGACTCCGAGCAAACTCTTTGTAGAGCATAGCGCCATGAGTTTCATACAACTCTTCCAGCCATGATTCTACAGAAGGACGATGTAGAAAGCGGTGGGTGGTTGCGGCGAAGTCAAAGTATCTCTTGACCATCGACTCTGCTGTGGTCTTTGGTGGCAAGATCGCGAAGGAGGAGTCATGTCCAGGTAACGGTCGATCGCCAAAGTTGAATACTGAAGAGTTGAAGTAACCGGGAGATTGGACTTGCAGCTTCCTCTGGATCCTCAAGAGAAATGAGACTCCAGAAGCCGGGCCCACATAGTGGCCCTGTTCATCCGTTTGAGAGGGCTCAGGAGAGTTGCGAGTGGAGGGTTGATGTTGACGTAGCTCTTGGGACTGGGTGTTCGGGACATCATGATTTCCAGCTCGATACCCCGAAGGAGACAAATCTGATGCCAACCTTGAAGTTGCAGTTGTATGCGAGTGAAAATGCGCCCGGGGTCCGTCAGAGACTGAGTCTCGGTGATCACCTCCATTCCTCTGTTCCGAAGTCGACGAAGAGCGGCCAAGGTCTCCAGAGCCCGCAGTTTCGTTGTCGACCGCTGGCAAAAGTTGGCCTCGTCGATATGTCGCCGTAAATTGGCAGTCAAGCTGAAGATGAGCGCAGAAGACGCACGGCCAAGTCCCCGAACATCGCGTCTTGCGCCTGAACCCAGCGGCGTTAGTCTACTCCGGCAACCAACGCCACTACTCTGAGATTCTTACGACTTGCAGCGATCGCATGCTCTGTTGACCCTCGGTCGAATGGGATCATCTTTCAGCCGTTTGGGTGCTCGGCCATCTTCCGGCGCATCGGATGCTCGACGGACGCGGGGGAATGGTGTCGTTGACGTCTCATCCATCGTTTCCTCGGATGTCAAGTATCGTCGATTTGACCATTCCTCGGATCAACTCGTGAGCTGGACAAATGACCTGGTGTTAGTTGCGGGGGCCAAGGAAGACCAGGGTCTGTTCCGCGGATGCGCTTATCCGTTTCGAGGATTGAACTTCCCCAGGAATGCGGAGGAGCCGATCCTTGTCCACCTCCTCTTATCCGCAAAAGCGGCGGATATTCAGGACCCCACCCCGGCTTTCAATCTGCTGATCTTCTGGGGAAGCGCTGCGACAACGGCCATCCGGTAAGTCCCATCTTTGGGTGTTAAAAAGATGCGAAAGGTCTGGTGGTAGGCTCCAATTCTGAGAGACGCAAGCTCCTACCAGCCCACCTGAACACAGCATTGCAAAGCAGCAAAGTTTAGAATCAGCATCATGTCTCCTCGTGGCATTATCCGAGATGTCATCATCACCCCGGTGGCATTTCATGACATGCCATTGCTAAACAGCGTCGGCGTGCATGAACCATTCGCCCTGCGCAGCATCATTGAGGTAGTCACGGATGACCAAGTCTACGGGCTGGGTGAATCCTACGGCGACTCAACGCACCTCGGTCGCTTGCAGGCGGCTGCCGATCAGATCAAGACCAAGAACATCACAATCTACGACACGAATGCCATCTACCAAATATGCGTCAACTCACTAAAAGGCGACACCACCACTGGCGGCGACGGCATGGCGGGCATGGTGACAACCGCCTCCGTTGCCGACAAGGTCTTTTCCCCATTCGAGGTCGCCTGCCTCGACATCCAAGGCAAGTTTGCAGGCGTGCCCGTCAGCGAACTGCTGGGCGGCCGCGTTAGAGACAACGTCCAGTACTCTGCGTACCTGTTCTACAAATGGGCGGGGCACCCTGGAGACGCAGACGATGAGTACGGCCCCGCGCTAGACCCGGAAGGCCTCGTGCGGCAGGCGAAGAAAATCATTGACGAATTCGGCTTCAAGGCCATCAAGCTCAAGGGCGGTGTATACCCGCCGGCCCAGGAGGTCGAGGCAGTCAAGGCCCTGCATGCAGCGTTTCCCGGGGTGCCCCTGAGGCTGGACCCCAATGCCGCCTGGACTGTTGAGACCTCTAAGTGGGTTGCCAAAGAGCTCGACGGCATTGTTGAGTACTTGGAGGATCCTGCCCCCGAGATCGAGGGTATGGCAGCCGTAGCTAAGGAGGCCTCGATGCCGCTGGCCACAAACATGGCCGTTGTCGCGTTCTCACATCTCCCGCCTTCTATCCTCCAGAACGCGGTGCAGGTCATCCTTTCAGACCACCACTTCTGGGGGGGCCTGCGCAAATCTCAGACTCTGGCGGCAATCTGCGCGACCTGGGGCATGCGTCTCTCGATGCACTCCAACAGCCACTTGGGTATTTCGCTTGCGGCGATGACACATCTGGCGTCGGCGACTCCCAACCTCGACTACGCCTGTGATACCCACTGGCCCTGGAAGCCACGGAACGAGGATGTTGTAATTGAAGGCGCGCTTACGTGGTCCGATGGCGGTGTTAATGTGCCAACAGCGCCTGGTCTGGGGGTTGAGCTTGATAGGGAGAGGCTGGCTAAGCTTCATCAGCAGTATCTCGACTGCGGTTTGCGGAAGCGAGATGATACTACATATATGCAGAAGTTCCAGCCGGATTTCTCAGCGAAGATACCCAAGTGGTAGCATAAGATGATGTCATGTAACTTGCTGTTTATGTTCAGAATGTTCTCAACGTGAGTGATCGTGTAGGTCCGTAATGAAATGAAGAGTCACACTTCAATTATGCCATCCTTCTACTGACGAAAGTTGAGATCTGAAAAATACTGAGTGTTGGAAAGAAGACCATTCAATGATCTCTGTGTATGACAAGCTGGTGTTCATACTTCTGACTCCTCCTCTGACACAGTTGTTCATCTGCCCCCGATACGACGTCAGGATCTCTACATATAACATACTATGTAGCGTACAATCAATGATCCCATGAATCTGGCTATGCAAGCACTGTTTCTCACAGCCTTCCATATGATGGCTTATCCGCATATGTCTCCGGACTACTCGTGGGGCGTCTGCCAACCGGGTTTTACGCGGCAGTGTACACCACTTCCTCGTACCGACATGAGTCTCGTTTCGTTGCCGGGGTTTCATGCGTCTCCATGTATCATCAGGAGCTACAAGCTTCGGAGGCTCTAATCCACGATCTCCTCGGATGAACTAAACCTGAAAGGAAGGTCCTGGCTGACCACAAACCTGGCCGTCAGACGATTCTCCTCAATATGGATCCGCTGGGCCCCGAAGCTCATGCCACTCATGGCCGTCAACCCATGCAAGAAGCCACCCACGGGGTTTCGGCAACTTGGTTTCACGGGGGAATCTTGGGGTGAATGCGGGGGTGGAGTTCATCGTTCCTTTGTGCGGGGAAGTGGACATCAGGATGAGCCATGTCCAACCCGACTTGCACGGAGACATTGCCGAAGGGCCCAAGGATTTCGCAAGTTGATACACCGGAATATTGGAGGTTATAAGTTTAGCAACTGCACCCTGATCCTGAGTCAGATTCTATGAAGGTTTGAAGTATTCCAGTCAAGGTTGGCATCCTCACTGCTCTCAACATCGTCTCTCATTCTTGAATGTCCTTAAGTGGAACATAAAGCATCACGCCTTAGACTCACACTTACACAATGACGAAACGTACAGCGGGCCATCGCGGCAACTCGACTAGATCGATCCTGATAGGTCTAGCTATCAGTCTCGCAGGGTTCGTAGAATTATCTGCAACTTGACGTCGACATAATATTGAGCCAAATTACTGACTCGACATGACATCGCAGCTTCGTGTACGGCATCGATACCGGTATCATCGCATCGACCATTGCCCAAAAGACATTTAAGCTGTACATGTATGGATCTTCGCTGGACAATGCTTCTGTGAGGGCTGGCATCGTATCCGGATACTATGCCGGATACGCCTTTGGCAGTGGTGGCTCAGCCTACACCATGGACAGGATCTCTCGCCGGTGGACCCTTCTCCTGGGTGCAACTGCCAGCGTCATCGGGGCCATTCTTCAGACTGCCGCTGTGAATCCAGCCATGATGATCGTCGGTCGCGCCTTTTCTGGCTTCTCGACCGGCATGGTCTACCCCACAGCTCCCGTTTATTTGGCAGAGCTCAGTCTCCCTGAGAACCGCGGATTCCTCGTGGGCTTGAAAGGCCTAATGAATACTTTGGGCTTCTTTGCTGCAGGATGGGTTGGGTACGCGGGGTCATTCGCTGTCGGCGACCTTCAATGGCGCGTGCCACTGGCTACCCAGATTCCTCCAGCACTCTGCCTTGCCATCATGACCATTTTCCTCCCGTACTCCCCGCGATGGTGTAAGTATTCTTCGATATAAATGCAGAATCCTTCGACTAATTATGCATCTCACAGTGGCCTCCAAAGAGCGATATGACGAAGCCAAACAAGTCATGTATACCCTTCACAAGCACCGCGGCTCTGAGGTCATCGAAAGAGAGTTCGCCGAAATGTGCAGTCAAATCCAGCTGGAGTCCGAAAAGAAGAAGAACGCCATGACCAACTTCATGAACCTATTCACCCGCAAATACATCCGTCGCACTCTCCTTGCCTGCCTCACAGTTAACATGATGAAGCTCTCTGGTTCCAACATCATTCAGAACTACCAGTCCATCATGTACAACTCTCTCGGCTACGAAGGACAGACTGTCCTCCTCATCGGAGCTCTGTACGGTTTTATGGCCGTCGTTGGCCAGATTATCAACGTCTTCTTCGTCGCCGATCACTGGACCCGACGCGTCACGGTCATCTCAGGCAGCTACTGTCTGGCCGTACTGCTCGCAGTTTTGACGGCCCTCTCAGAGAGGTTCCCTGAGGGCTCTAACCCGGCAGGCTCTCGGGCGGGAGTGGCGTTCATCTTTCTCTTTGCCTTCGCATACTCCTTCTTCTTCAACAGCGTCAACTGGGTCCTTGTTGCAGAGATCTTCCCTCTCGATCTGCGTGGTGTTGGCGTCGGCTTCTCTGTCTTCACGCAATCAATCACGGCTATTTGGCTTTCGTATGCGGCATCCATCGCCTTTGATGAAATCTCGTGGAAGTTTTACTTTGTCTTCATCGCGTGCAACCTATTCGCGGGAACCATTTACTTCTTCTTCCTGCCAGAGACTCGGTTCTTGTCTCTTGAGGAGGTTGCGGCCAAGTTCGGAGACGAGATTGTGACAGCCCCTTCGAAGGACGTAGAGTTCGATGACAAGAATGTCACATTGACTGAGAAGGTGGAGGTATCATCGGACCATGTCGAGAGCTCGCGACGATGATGGAAGATAAAGTCGCTTGACGCAATTGGGGAAGAAGTTTCCTTGTACAGTCCGTTTCGGTAGCATTTATTGTATGATTATCACCTTAATTCTCAAAGTTCCATTCAATACCGCTCCTCCATATATTCATGTGCGGGACCATCAACCGTGCTGTTTCGGGCACGGATTGGCCATTAGAGCAGCGCTGCCGGCTGGACAGACTGTCCTTGGCCCCCAAAAAACTTTTCCACTGCTTTGTCTACCTCGTAATGGTACATCCAAGTAGCTTTCTTCTCGCTGGCCCTTCTAACCCTCTCCTCGATTTCATCATCAGCAGGAAGGTGTTCGGCCAATAGCTTCGAGTTGACTGCTGCAAAACTGTCTAGAACCCCGTATAGATCTCGATAATGCGGCGACCTAATCTGGTCATATAGCTTCAGAGCTGCCGCCAAACCTTCTCCATTTGTGCGCGCAAAATCCAAGCTTCGAGTAAGAGCCCACACATCCTCCAGAGCGAAGCCCGCTCCTGCGCCAAAAGCTCCGGACAGCGGATGGGACGCATCTCCGATAAGGGCAATAGCGTCATGCGAAATCACGCTTTCGAGTCGCGCACCCGAAAACAACGCAAATTCTTCGGTCTTTCCCTGTGCTGCGAGCTGGATGACCTTGCGAACTGGCTCGCAGAACTCATCATACTCCGAGGCGATGGTCGAGAAGTCAAAAGACCGACCCCAGCTGACGTGTTCTTGGCCCTCAGTCGGTCGGCGGATGCGAGCAGTAACCTCAAAGTCATCTCCACCCAGAGGACAAGTAAAGACGTATTTTCCACCAACGTTCTGCCAGAAAACGGGTGATCTGGGAATACCCTCGATGCTGAGGGCGGCAGATTTAGAGATGATGGTTCGATAAGCGGATTGTCCGTTATACTTGATCTTATGGTCGGGAAATGCAAACGAGCGCACAAACTGTGTTGCAATCAGCGGACCGGTGGAGGATGGTACTTTGCTGGGTAGTGGAACTTACAGATCTGATGCCATCTGCGCCGACAAGCAAATCCACTTCATCAGTGAATCCATCGGCGAAATCAATCCGAATTTTGCCATTTTGCAACTTCTCAATATTGGTCAACTTCTTTGACACCCTGATCCGAGATTTGTCAACCTCTTGGAGGAGTGCTGCTTGAAGTTTGGCTCGGACCAGCCGGCAGCTGCGTTGTTGCAAAGGGACGTCTGCTGCGTGACTGCTCTGCTCGAGTAGCTTGCCCGTTCTTCCGTTTCTGGTGATGGTCAGCTAATGGTTGGGCGGTCTATCGCAAGTCGGACTTGATACCTTGTTTGTCCGCTGGTTCCATCTTCAGCCCTGAAGAAGTCATTTGGGTCTACATTTTTGGCAGCCCCAGTCAACTCCAGCAATCGCCAAGTATGGCGCTGTAGACTGATGCCACCACCAGTCTCACTTATTTCAGGCTTCTTCTCGTAAAGAGTCCAATCAATATAATTGAGCTTTCCAAACTCGATCGCAGCGCCTAAGCCGCCTGGTCCACCGCCAATGATAGCGACCTTGACGGGAGGAATGCTTCCCATGATAATGATGGTTCACAATGAGTAGGAATTTGAGACCACAGCCGTGACGGAAATGATGAATAAGTTGCTTAGAGGTTCACGACAACAATCATCAAGTCCATATACCATGTGATGAAATCGAAAGCGGCTTGCGCGGCATTTTATGCTCTCACATTGCAGGCCAATGAGTGCTGCTTATCAGGCCATTTGACTGTATTGCGCAATATTCGGAGCTTATTGTCAATTCGGCCGACGCCGATAAAGGACCTTCCCCCCACGAAAATGAGATGTTTTGGAACCACCAGCATCAGTGGGTCGTTGAATGGTAAATGATTGTGAATTGCTGACATATCAACAGTTGGAACCTGACAAACATAAGAAAGCCTAAGTACTTTGCTGGTAGTCTGGGGGTGTGAAGAATGAGCGTAGCATGCTGGGGAAAGTATTACCTGTCCCTGAACCTGACATAATTTCCGCAAAACTCGCAAGCAAAGTTTCGATAGCAACCTGAGATCTTAAAAGAAAGAAAAGCTGAATGAATGTGCGAATAGAATGAGGAAGTAGTTGACAAGAAGGTTGCAAGTTCAACGTGAAAGATAACACCGTGCATTCCTTGCATGTTCGTCATAACATTGCAGCCTAGAGCCCATCGTCGATACGATAGTATTCATTCCATCGCTAGACAACGCTGGTCAGTATGATGAGCGAAGACCAGCAATTTGGTGGAACATTCCCTCACCTTATCCCACGGCCGAGACGAGTCCACAAAGCGTAGGTCAGTTCCTAGTCTGATCCTACCTTTCGGATCATAGTTGATAGTCGATGCATGAATCTAAAAAAGGGTCAATCAGTTGTCGCATGGGTTGCGTCAGCTAGGGCGGAGGTACACATACCATGTGAGGTGTATGGAAGACAACATCGCCAGCCTCGTACTCTGTAACAAGCCATTTCTTGCCATACTTGCGACCAAAGTCTGCCGCACCGTTGCACAACCACCCAGTGCTCATCATGTTTGCATTGTATGCGTGCCGTACCTCTTCATCGGTCATCCCCGCAGCCTTTGCCTTTCGTTCGAAGTCTTGTTCTATCTCGGCACCAAGCGCCTCCCCTAAAGGTTCATAATGTTAGCTGAAGTCCCCGTTAAGTTTCGTTATGGTGATGAAGAAGACAACTTACCATCTTCGAGATAGATCAGACCACCACCCTCCAGGCTGACATCACCAATCGGCACCCACGCTGTCACTGAAGTAGGCTCACCGTAGCGCATAAATGACTGATCATAGTGTACGCCGATAGCCTTATTTCCAGGAGTGTTGTTCCTCAGCAAGGTTCTTTTAACAGGAAGGGTGTTATCGCCCCAACCCGTAAAATGGGCAACGAAAGCCTTGAGGGCAGGATGGTTGCAGAACCCACGGACCCTGCCATCAGTTGAGCCACAGTACCACTCGTCGGTGTGGGCTTTCAGTGCAGCATCCATGAACATTCCGCGTTTATCCTGACTTCCAGGGGCGGTGGCGGTGGCCCGTTTGGCTCCAGCACCTATCCCAGGGTAGTTCGAGGGGTTCGCTTCCGGATCGAAGATGCCTTCCTTAGGTGCCGTGCCTGGCTTCAAGATACCGCTTGGGGATAGCGATGCAAAGTATGATTCTCGGGCGGCCAGGACGTCTTGTCGGGGCAGGAGACCCTTGACAAGGAGGTAGCCTCTAGTATGGTATCGATCGCGGAGGACTTCGACGAGTTCATCGGGAAAGGAGGGCTCGAGGATTCCGACTTCAGCAGGGGCGAGGAGGTCATCATTGACAAAGAGAAACTTGCCGTCAATAGGTGGTGGCACAGACGAGTTGACAGAAGGGGGTTGCAGAGACATAATGACCAGGCTTTGGTAGACACGATTGATCCGAAGAGATTAACGATGAAATGATTCAAATGGTTTGCAGCAGCTGCCAGAGCAATACGAGAGATGAATGGGTTTCATGTTGGAATGGTGGGGGAACTGTCCTTGAGAAACTGTTCAACTCGATATCTTCTGGTCAGCGGGTAGGTCAGCTGTTTTCAGGGTTGAGAACTTTGGACTTATCTGTGTTTTAAACAGCATTGAAGAGCCAAGTACTTCGGTACAAAGAGGCGAGAGAAGCCCCGATTCCTCACTTGTCTCCAACTTTTGATTCGGCCATTCAATGCTGGTCTAACCGTTTCCGGTGCATTGCTCCATTCTGTCCTGTCAGCTGCGAATCAGAACCCCACATCCTCTCCGTCAGCTGCGACTTGTGCAGGGGTCGAGTGGGTAATTATCTCCGACGAGGTGTCCAGCTACGTTGTGGTGAACGAGGAACGAGCTCGTTTGAACAAGACAGAGCTGATAACACAGTCTGCTCTGAATGGGTAAAATCTGCGATGGAATCAAATCCCGAATCAGTCTCATCTCAGCTTGGCGTGCCGGAGTGACGTTGGGGCACTGCAGTCACACGAAGTCGGTCTTCTTTTGAAAGTGATGAAACAATTTGCCCAGTTGTACACGCTGATATTGACGTCTACCTTAAGATATGGTTGGAAACTTGGATTCTGTGTTGTACTGTTTCCACGCCGAACGACTAAACACCCAAAGCTAAGATCTGAGGTCATCGGCAGTGTAGTACTGGCCCTTGCCTGTGTACATCCACTCTCTCACGTAGACGTCACCTCCTGAAGGGCATTCAAGTCCCGTTCCAGCTCCATTGCAAGTTGCATAGACGCCAAGAAGGGTCCCAGTAAATGGGCCACTTTGACCGCTGACCAACTTCGCCGACACGGTAGCCATTACGATCTTGTTTTCGGGCTCTGCAGCTGAATATGCGGTAAGAGTGTAATGTGTTGCATTTGGTGTAGAAATCTCAAGTTGAATGAGATCTACCTTCCAAGTTTCGGGAAACCTCTCGACATATTCTTCAGGGGCATCGTTTCCTGTGGCCCTGAAACGCAAGAAGCGATCAGTGCCTTCGGCGCCATCGGCCTTGGGTTGTGCTACTACGCCGAGATCGGCGTGATGATATTGCGTCAAGAAAAGAGTGACTCCTACCTCCAGATCAGCTTCATCGAGAGGGACGTCTAGGGTCACATTGAAGTTGAACAGAGAATCGGTCTCTGGTCGTCCGATGAAGGACAGTCCAGATCGGCCATCGAGCTCTACGTTGTCGCCGGTGAGATTTCCTCGACTAGGCACAATATGCATGCCTTTCAAGTCCACGATCTCAAACGCTCCCTGCAATGGGACCCTCCAATAGATTAGGTTCCGTGGTATCTCGCTCATTGTCGTGAAGTGATACACGTCGGGATCAGAGTTGAACTGACCATGTCCAGGGATGTCTCGACTGGATGGGGGCAGTTGCCAGCCCGACGTCTTGCCTCTGACTGGCTCCAAAATTGGCCATTCGCCCTGCTCCCAGGTTACTGGAAACAGGACCGTTTCTCGTCCCATGGGATAGATGGACCACTCTGGCCCCGAACGCGTGGACAACGCGACATTCCACCAGTTGTCATTGGTGTCTTGAAATAAGTCTGCGTGGCCAACGGTCTTATGTTTCCAAATCAGACAAAGATTCTACAAGGTGACTTCTTTCACATACCTGAAAGTACTCATCTGTATCCTTGTTCGTGAGCACTGGATTGTTGGGGCATGGCGTATATGGACCAGTGAGATCAGCCGATCCCGCCATGACTTCATAGTGCCCAGTCTCAGTGCCTCCCTCGGCCATTGATAAGTAGTAGAATCCGTCTTTGCGATATATATGCGGACCTTCCGGCCACACACCACCAGTTCCTGACCAAAGAAAAGTGTTGTTGAGGACTGTGCCAGTTTCAAGGTCGACATCAAGAAGCACGGTGCCTTGGCCCCCGCCTGGAATGTAAAGCTTGCCGTCATCATCCCAGAAAAGATCTAGGTCTCCGGCCGGTGTGGAAAACGTGATAGGGTCTGCCCAGGCCGTATTGTCGTACGGATCATTTGTCTTGAAGATTGTCCCCAACATGCCATCCGGCAAGCCAAGGTATTCACATATGACCCAAAACTGTCCATCGTGGTGTCTGATGGTGGCCGCATAGAACCCTTCTTGTTGGCGTTGAAGTATGTCCATGTCAATGTAGCTAATTGAGCAACAGTTTAGTCACATAAAACGGTGAGACTTACCCTTTGTCTGTTGACTTGCCCCGGGCATTTGAGCTTCTCGGTTCCACGCATGGCTGATCAGTTTCCAGTTGGTCAAGTCCTTCGATGCGTAGATTGGAAGGCCCGGAAAGGTAATAAAGCTGGAAGTAATGCAGTAGAATATTCCATCAACCTGCACACAAGAAGGGTCGGAGTGCCATCCAGGCAAGATAGGGTTGTAAAACGTTGAGTTTTCTGCCTGTACGGAGGAGACCCCATTGAATACGAGCCAACCTGTCAGCAGGTACTTGAAGATAGAGAGCACCATGGTCAACGGTCTTCTGCGCTGAGACTAGTTTCTAGAGTAGAGGCTGATACCCTCCAATCCATTTCACGTATAATGGCCATGTAAAGCTCTAAATACTTGATCAAAGATGCAATTCTTCTTGATCTTGTGTGGACCGAGAATATAGCCAGAGATCCCGAGGTCTTGGTAATTATTCTTACGTTGGCATTGCGTGACAAGCTTCTGCCGTGTGATTCCGGCTGAAAGGTAAAAGTAAGACCGAAATACATCTAGCAAGAAACAACATTGGTAAACCATCTTGAGTGACTTTCGCGCCTAGCATCAGTAATGAAACGAGGAAGGTGCATCGACGGCAAATCATTACAAGAGGAGACTGAGAGTTGACGCTGAGCCGCACCAATACCATCGAATCCCGCGGAATCGTATCTCGCTTAATCCCGTCCCGAGTAATCGTATCCCCCAGACCATGTTTCCAAGCCTCGGAGTGCGGGGAAGACAAGATCTACTGGGGTCTGATCTGCTCATTTCGACGTTTCTAGATTTACCCGCGAACCGATAAGGCTCTGTGACGCTCTTCTTGAACTTTGTGGGCATTCTCATGAGACTTGCAGAGGGAATCGTGCGAAGAATTCCCACTTGGGAACCGTCGCCAATGAGGATGATCACCCCATACATCTTGAAGCTCAGCATCCGGACGAATGAGCGGGGAGCGTTTCTGACACTTGGCAACTCAGTTTACCCAGGCACCTCAGCACGTGCATTCACAGTACGTAGTACTGTCTGAGGAAACAACACATAGAACTTGTAGTGGAAGTAGTTGCCTATGAATTCACGTTATGTTTCGGCTAAACTCTCGAAAGTTGCTTCAGCAGGAAGGCTTTGCTTCGGAACGACTGATTGTCATGAGATGCACATCCCGATGAGCGTCAACTCAACTATTGAGATCTCCATGGCAAATATTACTGCATTTCTACCAAGTATAGAAAGGACAGCCCGCCCCGTCATTCTCAGAAGAAAACTACGCATCAATAGCAATCTGTAGAATCTATCACTTTCAGCATGCAGTACAGAGCTTCCATCATCTTCTTTCTCGCGATGTTAGGCTTCGGCCGCATCGGGCTCGCTTTGGTCATGCGGCAGGATAACACGTTCACGAACCCAATTCTATGGGCGGATCTTGCAGACCCGGAAGTCTTCCGAGTCAACGACACGTACTACTATAGCGCCTCGACGATGCACTACTCCCCCGGGGCACCCTTACTGAGATCCTATGACTTGGCCAACTGGGAGTTCGTATCTCATTCTGTTCCCGAGCTCTCGGGATCCCAATTCTCTCTGAACGGAAGTGATCACGCAGCATACGTCAAGGGGGTCTGGGCATCTTCCCTTGGGTATCGCCAGAGCAACGGTGTTTTCTACTGGTACGGCTGCATACAGGGAGAGGGCAAGACTCAAATCTTCACTGCATCGAGCCCAGAAGGACCTTGGACTCGTCACGAACCGATCCCCACTTGCTACTATGATCTGGGGCTGCTGATAGACACCGATGACACCATGTACATCGCCTATGGAGCGGTAGACATCCATGTTGCTCAGCTGTCACCTGATGGATTTTCGGAGGTTCGGAGCGAGGTAAGCATATTCGAAGTGCTCGTCTCTGATAAACGCGCTGACGATTACTGCAGGTGGTTTACACCGAAGATGCTCACAGGTACATCGAAGGCTCGCGCTTTTATCACATTAACGGTAACTACTACATCTGGATCACCAAGCCAGGAGACGAGCAGCATGTGCTCAAGTCGACATCCGGCCCATGGGGTCCCTATGAGATCAGGGAGGTCATCGCTCAGATGAAAGCACCAGTCGAAGGAGCGGGGGCTCCCCACCAAGGAGGCCTCGTCTCCACAGAGGTAGGTGACTGGCTGTACATGGCGTTCATCGATGTGTATCCAGGCGGTCGCATACCAGTTCTTGCCCCCATCGAATGGGATGCCGAGGGCTGGCTGCAGGTAGTTACGGATGCAGATGGTGGCTGGGGCGTCAACTACCCTGCCCCCATTCAGACTACCAAGACCGTCGAAGGAAGTGGCGCCTATATCGACAAATTTGAGGGAACCACCCTTGGACCCCGTTGGGAGTGGAACCATAACCCAGATAACGACGCATGGAGCTTGGGCCCTGATGGACTGGTTCTAAACACAGCGACGGTTTGTGAGGGACTATACGAAGCCTCAAACACTCTCACGCAACGAATTCTCGGGCCGAAGAGCCAAGGAACTTTCCGCCTTGACATCTCTGGAATGATTGACGGGGACCAAGCTGGTGTCACGGCACTTCGACAAGACAGCGCTTACATCGGGATCCACAAGACCGATGGGGTGGCGCAACTTGTCTATGTTGATGGCATCAGCATGCATTCAGAACAAGATTGGTTGACCACCTCCAATGGCTACGTCAGGGCAGAGGGTCCTATGATCGAAGGTGCAGACCTGTGGCTAAGGATCAAAGCCGACATCACGCCCTCAGTCTTAAGAGACTCTAGCAACATTCCGCGATATGCTTCTTTCTGGTACAGCGTTGATGGGCAAAACTTCGAACAGCTTGGGCCAGAATATGCGCTCAACGCCGAGTGGTATTTCTTCATGGGATACCGTTTCGGCGTCTTCAATTGGGCCAAGAAGAATTTGGGTGGAAGTTTGGTGGTGAAGGAATTTGCCCTGGAGATGTTGGATTAGTGCTTGAACCTCCAATTCACATGCAGGCTTTGTATCAAATAACACCTTGTTGAATCTGCCTCCTCCCGATAGCTTGAGAGGAGCGAGTCGAAGATGCAATTCCTCGACTATAGGAAGGAAACTTATCACGGAATGAACTTACATCAGATCTCTATTTTGGCAGCCTCTACTTCTAGTAAATCTAGCAAATTCGAGTATCTATCACTACTCAGAGTCTTGAGGATACACCGTTCCGCCCTGTCGTCTAATCTCGTCCATGATTTCCATGACACGTATGGTCTCTGACCAAGGCATGACCGAACTTTCAAGCTTTCCGGCCAAAACGTCTAACGCGGCGTTATCAGCTTCCCAGTAGTAACCACGCCCAACTGGCTTGTAGTCGTGCTTCTTTGCAACATCTCTCTTCACGATGCCCGCATTCTGGTCCCTCCAGAACTTCTCGTAGACAGTGAAAGACTCAGGGTCGGAAGGAACCGTTCCATGAACTTCAACAGTGCCGTTGGTTCCTTGAATTCGGGCTATCACGTCCGGGTTGCCCGTCGCCATCGTTGTGGATGTGATCACGCCTTGCCTTCCCGTTGACGGGTACTGAAGAATGACGCTGGTTGTTACTTCAACTTCACCCCAATGTGTTTGAGCGGCGAGAATCTTGGGTGTTTCCGAAGTGGCTGGCGTTCCTGCGTCCAAACCGAGAATAGCCCACGTCAAGGTGTAAATGCCGAGATCAAGGAGTGAGCCAGCACCGAGGCGAGGTTGCTTGTATCTTGATCCGTCCGGCAGGTTAGGGATGTCCATCTCCAAACCGAACTCGGAATACACCCCGAAGACGTCGCCAATGATTTTCTCCTTATGCAACATACGCTGCAAGTCCTGAACAAGCGGGCGGTGACGGAGCCACATTGCTTCAGCAACGTAAACTCCCTTCTCCTTGGCAAAGGCGAACACTTCCTTCGCATCTCGGGCATTCAAGGTGAAGGCCTTCTCGCAAAGGACTGGCTTTCCCGCCGCAATCACATCCAGACAGTTTTGCTTGTGAAATGCATGTGGGGTTCCGATGTAGAGAATATCCACGTTCGGATCCGCATAGACTTCGTTGTACGACCCGTAGATAGTGGGGTTACTTGAGGGGCAGTACTGCTTCGCGAAGTCTTTCCCCTTGTCGACAGAGGAGCTGCCGATTGCTTGCACAATATGCTTGACTTTCGCATCGGGACGGGAGATCAGAAGATCCTCCACAAACCAGGAGGAGATCATCCCCGTCGCTGTGACCTGTTAGCCAGCCTGTCAAACAGCGCAAGCTTGGCGCCATGCGGGGGCGGGGGAAGATCTCACCAACAATTCCCCAACGAATCGCTGGTAATTCCGACATTGTGATGTGATTGGCTGAGACGAACAACGTCAGACTGTGCTAGTTAGAGATCGCTTGACAGAGGAATGCGCTGTATTCAAATATTCTAGAATGATTCGGCGGATGAGGACTCAGCCAGTTCTACGGAATTCACTGACCGAAGACCCATCTTATATAGTCTCCGTAGACTGAGTTGGCCGCCCCGGCCCTGCTGACGTCGGTATTCGGGATGTCCCCCGCAATGACGGTCGGCAATTTGACAATCAAGGTATTACCAATTGGGAGCAGTTTCGCCGGTTCTCCCTGCATTCGTCTGAAATAGTAACGAATCCCGCGGGTTATTGCAGACACCGAACGGGACTTCGGTCGTGACCATAAAAGACTTACCGTGCACCCTTTAAGCGAGGCATTGGTTGCTCTGCTCTTTCATCGTTCTAGCTGTATCTCGCACACGTCATTCATCAAACGCCTTCCTGCAACAGAAGCTGACCACCCTCACCTAACTTCCAAAAGGACGACCTCCGACGATGGCCTCCCAACACAAGATCCTCAACGTCGGAGTCGTTGGCATTGGTCGCATGGGTCAACGTCATGCCATGAACCTTTTGCGACTAGTCCCTAGAGCTAAGCTTCTCTGCGCTTGCTCCCCTGCAAAAGCAGATCTCGATTGGGCTGCTGTCAATCTTGAGCCTTACGGGGTGAAGGTGTACAGCACTTTCGAAGAAATGATTGAGACCCCTGAACTCGAGGCTGTAATCATCTCGTCCATCACAGCGCTTCACATGCCCCAGACCATTGCGGCATTTGAGAAAGGCATCCATGTTCTGTGCGAAAAGCCAATCTGCAACTCTGTCCCAGAGGTAATTCTGTCACCGTCTGCATCGGATGAACCACGAACGCTAATTTCTATGCAGCTTGAAGACTTGTGTCGGCGTGTCGAATCAAAGCCTGAAACAAAGGTAATGGTTGCGTTCTCCCGTCGCTTCGACGATAGTTATCAAGACGCCCTCTCCAAGATCAAGGAAGGGACAATTGGAAGACCATTCGTCTTCAGATCCCACGGCATAGAGAAAGGGGACCAGAGTCCGTTCTTCATCCAGTATCTTGCCAACTCCGGAGGAATTTACTACGACACTGCGATTCACGACATCGACTTGTCGCTGATGTTCCTTGGTGAGGACTCAGTGCCAAAGTCTGTGTCAGCAATTGGTACAGCCGACATCTTCCCAGATCTCAAAAAGACTGGAGACGCCGACAATGCCATTGGGTTGTGTGAGTACTGGGATGGCAAGATCGCCCATTTCTATCATTCGAGGAGTTCCGCCGTGGGATACGACAACGTCACTGAGATATTTGGTACCGAGGGCAAGTTGACGGTCAACGCAACTCCAAGAAAGAATCGTGTGGAGATCGCTGCGAGTGATGGATTTGTCAAGGTTGAGCCGACGCCTTCATGGTATGACAGGTACATCTCGGCTTTTGTGGTGGGGGCAAACGCATTTGTAGACGCAATTCTTGACGGAAAGGACCTGCCTATCCCGTTGAGATCAGCCGTTACGTCTCTCCGGATAGCTGCGGGTTTGCAAGAGAGTCTACGGACGGGACAGAAGATCTACTTCAATCGCCAGGGCATTGCCACAGGACCTACTCCACAGCTGTAGGGGTCTCGATTAGATTAGGGACAGGCCATAGAAGGAAGAAGCTACTTGTTGATACTGAATAGAAACATCCTTTCATGACATTGAAAACTCCAGCGCCTATTTGACGAAAATGAGATAGTACACAGATTAGGTTCAACTCGCTATCATTGACGTTGGATGCCACATCGATTAAACATTCCATATTCCAATCCCAAACATGAATCAGACTACCTGACTGGAAAATACAATTACGGCGTCTCATTCCTTGACCACATACCCCTTAGTTCTTCTGGTCTGTCCAATATCGTACGTGCATCGTAGTCCAAGTTTGCGGTACTCAAGGCCGGGGAGGCAAAATTGTCTCAAAGAGCTAGAGGAGCACAATAAGTCAGTCCAAACGTCCATGTCAAAATGTTCAGCTAGTTTTGGGACAGATCAAATCGGAGGAGTCAGGTCTACGTACCCAAAGGTTAAGCTCTCTCTTGTTCTTTCGAAGCTCGTAATACTTCTGATCAAGTTTATCTGGTACATTTTAGTGCACTGCCAACACGAGAACATATAGGGAATACTGACCGGAGGTAACGTGAAGAAGATCCTTGTACTTCTTCTCCTTGCTAATGTTCTGGAGGCCGTCGAGGAAGAGCGCAGCCTTGGCGTCATCTCCAACCTGGTTGACGAGGAACCTGACGACTAGCAAACACGTTAGTTACCTGCCACGTAATCAATAGAATCGGAATCTACTTACAGTCGGGAGAATAGTACGCCGCAGAGCATTTTTGGCTGCAGGTAGATATTCCGTTGGCAAATGTGTTCTGATCTTCCTCGTTGGGTTCGCCGTCTGTGATTGTGATGATGAGAGGCGGCCTCTTGAAGTCCTCCTCTTTGTCGAGGATATTGTACACAAACGGCTTGAGGATCTTTTCGTTGAGACCTGTGCCGAGCTTGGTGGATCCATTGGGCTTGAAGTTGAACTTGCCGCGGATGTCGCTGCCCCGGACGTTGTCGAGACCCCCGTCATTCCTATTCAGGAAGCGAATATGCACACCCATGTTCTCAGGGGCAAATGAGTTCATCAGCACGCCAATGTCTTCAACAAGATCAGTTTGGGCAGTCCATCGGTTTCCCTCCATGGATCCACTGTCATCTGTTCATAAACCTTTCATCAGCCAATGTTCATCAAATCAGCGGTCGTGTCAATGAAGCCTACCGCAGTAAATGATCGGCTGGTACAAGGCGCTACGAAGCTTCTCGTTGAACTCGCCAGGGTCCTCGGTCTTCGTGTCAGCATCCTTTTGTCTCTCCCAAGCTTCGTCGGCAATGTCGTCGATCAACGGATGGTCCGGTGGGTAGCTGTCGTCGAGACCCATGTCTTTGATGATCTTTTTAATTGAGTCCACGCAGTCCTGATAAGAACTTGGCAACTGTGGCTTCTTCGAAAACGTCAGTTCCCTCTCATAGTCAGATATCAGGTGCGGCTGCGCTTACTTGAGGCTTGTCCCCAGCATTGGCTTTACCAATTTCATTGTTGATCTGCTTGAAGGCTGCAGCAAGGGCATCCTTGAGGGTCTTCCAGGGTTTGCAGTACGCGAACAGCAAAAGTACTGCGGAGATGATGAACTTCGCAAGTGCAGGTCCGATTGAGCCCTGGTTCTCGGGATCCTCAAGAGGCGCGCCGATCGAGGGGCTGATGAGGCCGTTCGCGATGTCCTTGGCCGTTTCTCCGTTGCTGTTCTTGACAGTTTCGGAAGCCCCCGCTTTCTTCAATGCATCAATGATCCGAGGGTCTGCCTGGTTCCGGAGTGCCGTCATGAGGGGGGTATCGTTGGGTCTGCGCCCCTCTCGCGCGTTTCTGTCAACAGACTCGTCCTTGAGAATAAGCTTGACAACCTCAAAGGCGTTCTCCTTGGCAGTGACAGCCATATGAAGAAGAGACTGGTCTTTGTATCGTGCTCTGGTGTTCGCCTTGCTGCTCTTAAGGAGTGAAATATTGGTGAGGTTGCCTAACATGACTGCCCAGGCCAGTGCGCTGTAACCGTCTGGGGCATCGTCGATCTGGAAAGAAGGGTCGCTGCGGGCTTTCCGCAGGTCACCGCGGGTGATTTCCTCATTGCGGCTGACTCTCTCGTGAATGCTGCCTCCGATAGACATGATGGGCAGCGGTATCGACGGACAGGAAGAAGTGGCGGATATGTTGTTATGTCTAATATGGTCCTGAAAGCCTTGGATATTGTTGCCATAATGCCTTAGCAGCTCTGGGTAAGTCACCTGGCTTTATACTTGCAACCAACGTTGCACTGCGTCTACCCATCGCCCAGAACTCTCTACCACTTCTAAGCAACAAGCGAGGTGCAAGTGGACTAGATTGATGATTCCACAGGTTGAGCTTCTTCGGAATCAAGTCCGACTCAAATGCCCCTGTTTCATTGGATTCACTGTGAACGAGCATTACATCATGTAACGTACTTTTGTGAATAGTACGCGCTAACTATTCATAGTCTCGTTCATGTCTTTCCGAGACTACTTATCTTTACCAGTCATACCTTTTAGATCTGACACAGGATCTACGGCAGGTAAGCATTAACAGGCCCAAGCAACAACAATTCTGACGGAAGAGGTATCAAGAATCTCTCACTTTGCGCCATCCATTCCTGTTGCAAAGGTAGGGTGCTATCGTGCGGTTTTTTCATGTGTCTCGGAACGTAGGCAAACCGCGACTGAGACAGCTTTCAGCCAGGTTCAAGAGAACTCATCTAGCGTCTAGCTATCTGATCTGAATGCCATGGAAACCTACGTCTACTACAATTCGCTCCCATTAGTGGTATTCGAAAACGTCCGCGTGGGACTCCAGAGAAAAGCTAAAGAGGAAATGAGATGAGCTTGTTCTGGAAGCGAGACAGTAAATCTCATGAAAACGTCATCCTAATCAAGGCCTTTCCAGGGGCGGTTAAGACACCAGAAAACTCACTTTGCGTCTCAAAGCCAGGAGAGGTCGGGCATGGGTTTACCGTATGGCCGCTTCAAACTGTGTGGCTATGGAGAGCTTTTCTGCCGCACACAAGTGCCCCGAGGATAACCTTGGAGCGGGGAAGTGAGACTAGCGGCTGTTACTCTCAAACGACTCGGACCGCGCCGACGGTGGCACCATGCCGTTTTTCCCGAGGTGGTGGGAGCACCCATGACATCGCAACCAGAGACATTATCTCAGACAAACGGGATCCTGCCCAAGGTTTTGAGATCATCTAGAGAGGGGGCCCGCAAGCGGACGATTGCACGAAGTTCAGGCTGTCACCCCCTGAAATTGTCTTCGTTGCTTTTGATATGTCGGGTAGCTTGAAGACTAGCTAGACATTTCCACATAATTCTTCAACATAGACCAAAATCAGATATCGGTACGAGCAATATGTGACATTTGATTCCATTATTTCCAAGACAGCAATTGCCGTCCTCAACGGCCGTAGCTAGGTCCGGCAGTTGTGTCTCAGATGATCTCAGTCGAAAAATGGCGAGTACGGAAACGGCGAGACACATGAATCAATGAACCACATACTTGCGAAATCCCCCGCTTTTACAAAAGTGAGCACCGTTTTTAGGTTGAGTTACGGAGTTTCCCAAACGCGAAAAACGGTGTGTCTTTTCGTGCGTGTATTGAATCCTAGTAAAACCCATTCACAATTTTGACAATTCGTCTTTCTTCCCTTCCAACTTTTCTTCTTCGCAGTTTGCCGCCTGGAGGCGCACCTTGTTGACTGCCGTATGACTCTCACGGGGAAATATTCGAGGGCCAATTCGTATGCATCAGATACTTCAAATTCAAGATTGATTTGAAGTCTGAAATTCGTGAGTCGCATTCTCTCCTAGTCTTCCAACGATGACCCTGCGGAAACCATCCAATGTTACAAGCGGGACACGAGGTAGAAAGGAATTTGTTTCTGGCAGAGCTATTTTTTTCATTTCTCCACTCTCCCTTCAACTGCACTTCAACTTAGGTATGAATTTAGTTGTCTGGTATCCATCCCGTCTCTGTGTCATGATCATCTCCCCACTCCGAATCTGAACCAAGTGTGGAGACCGGATAGTGACTGCAGTATGCTTCACTACCACCCCTGTTGATAAGCTTTCTATCCACCATGTGTAAATGATGTCTGTCATGATTATCTTGGTCATCATTTGTCCATATATCATTCCAGTTCTCCCACGGCCTGTTATTATGTTCATGCCGCGCATGGCTGGTGAAGTAAGTCAACTGGGAGGCGCGAAAGAGTTCCAGGTCGGGGCACTGTGTGCGTAGGAAGACAAAGACTTTGTCCCAGTTGCCACCGTTTCCATACACCTTGATGTCTTCGAGAGAAACTCTCCGTGCCACAGGTGTCAGCTTGGTTTCGTTTACGGGCGCGACTGTCAAGAGCTTCAAGATCGACTGTACGTTCGTCTAGATACGGTGAATTACGAGGTCTACCAAGCCTCTATATCCAGGTTGTGGGATCCATCGGAGTCGATCAAGTTCAAGATAGTGTAACGCGATGATAGCCAGTGATTCAAGCCTTTGGCAGGACCCAACGAATGCCCACAGGGCATCCTGATGCTCTCTGTTGGGATAGTCAACTTGAATGTTGCTCGGGGCATAGCCGGTTCCAGAAATGTCCGTGAAGTCTCCGTCGTTGTAGTCGTCGCCGTCGGATATCATCTGCCAGTCGCTCCCCCCCGGCCCCGTTTCATCGACAATGACTAGGCGGAGTTTCCGCAGTTGATTTCGGGCATCTTGAGACAGGACAGTTGTGATTTCTCCAACGTACCATGTGCTGGGAACCAATAGACTGAGGTCCGTAAGGTGATTGAATGCCGTAGCTCTGAGGCCATATTGAATGGTCCTGACGAATTCGCTCATTCCCTCCATATCGTAGCAATTGGCCCGTAAGTTCTCTCGATTATAAGCGCCCATTACCCTTGCAGTGAATTTCTCGATACAATCAAGTGAGTCGAAAAGACGCCGGATCGTGGTATGTTCTTCCGTTTTGTCATAATGCAACTGCGGGTCTGCTCGCAATCCCCGTTTGCCAAAAGAGCTGGGGGAATCAACATAGCTAGAGTTTAGTACGATGTAGTTTGGGTCGACATTTTGGCCTACAAACCTATAGATATTCCCTCGGGTCAGCTATCGTCTTCACACCACTGTATCAAACTCGGGTTAAACAAGCTTAATGCAGAGGATGGCTGCCTTATTCTTGCCAATCAAAGGAGTAGAGTCGCGAGAACGAATTCAGGTCGTGCATGTCCTCAAGGTTCAGACTTCTCACTGAACTGCTCAGACTGGCATTGTGATCGCCACAACAGGCTGCAATGCGTTTGATCAGGTCGGGGTCATCGAGGCGGATGTTCCATCAAAAATGCCTCCGAAAGAGCCTATTGGCAGAGCGATTCCACTGACGGGATACGAGGCGCAAAGTCAACAAGGCCTGAAGGTCTAGATCCGTACGAAAGAAGGTCGATTCGTAAGGCTCGTTCTCCCCACCGTAGAACACCGCTGTGGAGTCCCGGCCGCCGGTGAAGTTAACCCACTCATCGAGGTCACGGACCTCATGAAAGGTCTGGACTCTGGCTACTGAGACATATTGGTCGACGATCTATGTCAGTTAGCAGCTTCTCATCTTCATTCAGCCGGGAGCTGGTGCCTACTTGGTCGATGATCTCTGGGGGAAGAGACATTTTTGCGATGGTTTCTTACCAAGTTGGAAGAGAGGATAAGCAGCGAAGAATAAATTCAATTGGCGAGCCGCTGCTTTCAAGGCCCGAGCGCATCGAACCAAGTGTGGCACAGTGGCTGCAGGCAACAGCCACAGAGTCCATCGGTGGCTGTACATAAGCAACAGCCACAGCGCCCATTGAGTGTGCTTGTTTGGGAATTCCTTCAGCGGAAGACGATGTTATCCAGTGATGCCTTGCCATGCAATGCCTCGGTGCTCACCAGGTTTTGATTCATGTCGCCTATGATCCCTGCTAGCCGACTAAAATTTCGCAAGGTTTCTGTTGCATTTTAGGCGCGGTAAGGAGGGTTGCAATCGGTTGTAATCAAGAACGGGAGACAAAGGACGATTGAAATAAATCCCTCTCGTGGCTCTGATGGAAATATTGCAAAGCTTCAAACGGTGGAATAACATAACAGTCTCTCCGTGCGATGCAAGTGTTCCACATTGCAGGAAGGTTGCTTGGTTTTCCAAATAATCGTTCCTGGTATATCCACGACTTTGGACGGTGTTTGAGACATGACGTCGCCGCGATCCGGGCTCGATTGGGGCCACACAGTCCGATGTGAAGTTGTACAACGCCAAATTGCTTCTGGACGGGAGATGCGGCTCAGTTGCGGGACTTTTCTTTGCTTTAAATAGCCTGTCTACAATATCAATGGTACTATTATCTCTCGCTTACCTTCATGAATGCCGACGTGAACCCAATTCCGCCGGCACGTCCGCTGGACCCCTGCCCTGGGGTATCCTCGTCTCAACTCGCATAATTTTTGTCGGATGATAGACCAGGACCAGGCATTCACACGATGCATGATCGACGGCTCAGAAGTGACATCGATCCGAGACACACGGTTGTCAACGTCTCACGGCTTGACTGTTCCGAACAAAAAATGAGTATCAAGTACCGAGCTGCTTTAGTCGCCCACATCCCCGGATTCCCCCAGAATGTTGGTTGCTCAGCTGTTGCATTTCATGGCGTTCTTTCAAAACTTGGGCGAATAACCTGCGGTCGTTTTGGAAAGTAGACCGCGACACCAAACACTGTCTTCAGACCATCGTCTCCAAGAGTCCGCCACGCCCGATCGTCGAATTTCACGGAGTGAAAGTCCTCATTTCAAACCGAAGGCATGCGTCTATCCTATCTTGTGTATGTTGCCACACTTGCAGTGGAGGCCGTTGTGGCAGGTATGAATCCACTGAGCCCAATCAAGTATTGCTTCTTCGAAAAGCTAACCAAATCGCAGCACCGATGAAGGCAGAAGCGCTTCCTCTGACGTTACTTCCCAAAGAGTTCGCCGACTACAACAAACGAAATCAGCCATCAGCGCAACAACTTGCTGCGAACGGTCGGGTTTGCGGGCTTGGTGCCCAACAAGGCGTGTGCGACAACGGACGATGCGGCACCTTCGTCGCTCCGACCGGTTTTACAATAATTCGTGGTGCGGAATCACAATGTGGAGCGGCTACAAAGAAGGCGTAATAATCGAAAGAAGATTGGCGGCGGCATAATATCTCGAAGTCGCGTAATATTATCATTTCGGTTGTATCTATTCCGAACGAACATATCATAGGCATTAGATGAACTCAGTCATCAATCCAACAGCTTTCAATATCCAGATAGGTTTAGTAGTGGTCCTCCAACGTCATTGTTACCGTCTTCGAAACCAGGTACTCCTCGATTGCAACATCCTTTCCGGACTCCTTGCCGTACCCCGACAGCTTCATTCCGCCGAACGGAGACTCGGCTGCCGACGAGTTGCCAGTGTTCATCCCGATCATGCCTGCGTCGAGATTCTCCATGAGGCGCCAGGTCCGGTCCATGTTCTTGGTGAAGAAGTAACTGGCGAGACCCATGCTCGTGTCGTTTGCCCACTTCACCACCTCGTCCTCGGTATCGAAGCTGTAAACTCCAAGGACGGGAGCGAAGGTCTCTTCCCGGCTTATCAGCATCGATTGCTTCATGTCGCGCAGAATGGTAGGCTCGTGAAAGTAGCCGGCCTCAACGCCCACCTCGGTGCCCGCCTTGCCGCCCAGCACCACCTTGGCGCCGGCCTCGACGGCATCTTTGACGTGAGCTTGGGCCTTTGGAATTGCCCGGGGTGTCGTCAGAGGCCCCATTGTCGTGCCGTCCTTTGCTCCGTGGCCCATCTTGATGGTTTTGGTACGCTCAACCAGCTTGTCCAAGAACTCCTCGTATATCTTGGCTTGTACATAGACTCTGTTCGCCGTGATGCATGCCTGTCCTGCGTGTCTCCACTTCAGCGCGAGCAATGCCTCCAGGGCCTGTTCCTGGTTGCAGTCGTCGAAGATGATGAATGGGCAGTTTCCTCCGAGCTCGAGAGTGATTTTCTTGAGGCCCTCAGAGCAATGCTTGGCGATCAGACTCCCGATCGCGGTAGAGCCGGTGAACGACACCTTCTTGGTTAGAGGGTGTTTGCATAGTGCTTCGGCTACCTCGGGCGTGTTATCGAGAGATGTTGTGATGACGTTGAATACACCAGAACCGAAACCAGCCTGCGTGGCGAGGTTCGCGAGGATGAGGCAGGTGAGTGGAGTCTCTGGGGATGGCTTGGCGATCATGGTACATCCAGCAGCAAAAGCAGCTCCGGCCTTGCGTAGAATCATGCTAACATCCCTTGTGAGCACACGTCTTGAACTATTCCAAAGGATCTGCTCACGCAATGGGGAAATTCCATGGGACCAACGCGACCGTCACACCAATCGGCTGCTTCACCACCAAGACCCTCCTATTAGGCGCAGAAGGAGTTGAGATGTTCCCACGAATGCGTTCAGCCTCCCCGGCAAACCACCAGGTGAAGCCCAGCGCATAGTCAAGTTCTCCCTGGGCCTCCGCTAGAGGCTTTCCGGACTCGTGGGTCAGTACCGTGGCGATGTCATCGCGATTTTCCCGAATCAGTCGGTCCCACTCTAAAAGTTTCTTCGCCCTTGATCGCGGGTTTTCGTAGCGATATTTCTGAAAGGCCTCGTGCGATGACTTCACCACTGCATCGATGTCGGACTTATTGAAGTCCGGGCTGGAGGCGAAGACTTTGCCTGTTCCCGGGTCTTCGATATCGAATGTTTTCCCTGATGATGCCTTCGTCCAGGAACCATTGACGTACGCGTCTGTCATGAGCAGATCTGGGTTTGACAGCTTGAATGCTCATGTCAGTGCAAGTTGAGCATCCCGGTAAGCTGGGGCCTTACTTTGAAAGGCAAGTTCTGAGCCATTTTGACGGTCGCAAATACTAAGATACCTCAGATCCAATGCGAGAAGAGCAATCTTCGTTCTGCAATGCGGTCGTCTAATTTGACTTAAATGGCCATGCAGCCGATTGTTATATAGCCGATATGGACTTCACCCCTCAACCCCGCATTCGAAGAACGGTCGCACAACGCCTCCGATGACGACACATCCAATGAGCTATTCAAAACTTAACCAATGGCAGCGTCTATTAATCATTGATGAACGCTTCTTGGGCTAGTTCTTGTTTTGGCCAATGGCGATTCACGATTATCGTCTTCGTTCGGAAAACCTTGTCCGCCACAACCGATCGGTCGGTCCCGATCAACAATCCTCCCAATATGAAATGCCCAGCACTGGAGAATCAACGTCGACAATAATTCAATTCAATGACCTTCGAGTCTCTTTCAAGAGAAACATTCGCTAATAAAGCATCTGAGTTTACTAATACTATGCCACACTCAACACTACGGCGCTCTATGCATCTAAGTTGCTCTACCTTGCGTGCATTCAGAACTTCATAACAACCTCCTCCTCGCGTCTCCTGATCTCCAGCTCCAGCATCGGGTTCAGGCACGGGTTAATGCCGTAGTCAATGATCGAAGTATCGGCACCGGCAGGCAGTCTCCATTCATACTGCAGCAAGATGTGAACCAGCGCGATCTTGATCTCGTTGGCGGCAAAGAATCGTCCGGGGCAAGCATGCTTTCCATGGCCGAAGCCAAGGTGCTCCGGGCTAGTAGCAACAAGCTGCGATACGTTCTCCTTACCCGGCTGCTCGCGCATGCGGAGGAAGCGGTAGCCATCCCACTTCTCGGGGTTCTCATAGACGTTCGCATCGAAGTGTGCATGCGAAGAGACGCTGACTGAGGTGCCTTTCGGGATGAATGTGCCGTCCGAAAGGGTGACATCGGCAACAGAGACGCGCTGCATGCTAGCTGTGTTAATAACGCCTGGTCAGCTGACGGGGTATCAATGTAAGAAGTTGCAAGGGGTTGCATACCAAGCTGTAAAGGCTTCAAACGCTGGCTTTCCTTCACAACACTGTCAAGAAGTTTCATACTGTACAAAGACGTCTTCTTCCATCCGCCCTCGCTCAGCACATCGATGATCTCCTTCCTCAGGGGCTCAATGATCTCGGGGTTGTGGGCAATATCAACGAGAGTTTGGCCCAGAAGGTCAGTGGTCGTATGAATTGCTACCGTTGAGAGGAACAGCTGAGAAACAGACGGATTGTAGTAGGTGCCCTTCGAAGCTGTTTCGAACCAGTCAATTGCATCGTTGTACTCTGGTGGCGCGCGGCCATCCGCAATAGCAGCGGCCTTTAGTGCGCGGCGCTTCTCGATGATAGGCTTGATGATGTTTGCGGCTTGGACGATTTGAGAGCGAGCTTTTTGGCAGCCTGGGATGAACCAGTGAACGATGGGACGCATGAGGCTGGGCCACTCGCGGAGGCGGTCAGCTGAAGAGAAGCCGTTCATAGTGTACTCCTTCGTTAGAGTAAGCCATTCCTCGTTTCGGCAAAGCTCTGTTCCCAGAAAAACGCGAGATGAGATTCGGGCAACGAAGTGAAGGATCGTGGAGCGCATGTGGATTGCATGCCATTCTACCCATTGTCAGTTGCCTTGTCATCTCTGATGCGGATCAGGAATCCCATACCCTTGCTGTCGGTGAAGATATCTTTGAGTGCCAGCGAGGCTTCGTCGGCAAGGGGCTCAGTGACCTTGGCTTCGAGACTTCTTAGTGCCCATCTAACGTAGCATGATTTGGGAAGGTGAGCTTACCGAGAGACTTGGTCAGGTCCTTGTTGATGACGATCAACGTAATGCTGTCACGAGTTCCCTCGTGGAAGGCATCAAACCCTGGGGTCTTGGTCTGAAAGAACTGTTGAAGTATCTAGTCAGCGGACAGTCAAGCACTGAGAAAGTCGGGGGAGGCACACGTCGGCGGAGAATTGGGTGAAGCTTAGGCGAGCATCATTTCGAATTTCGTTGGCCATAGAGGGAGGCAGGACGATGGTCTCGCCCATGTCGCTAACCAGTCGGACCGGCTTATTGGGGTTGGTCTTGAACCATGAGTACATCATCTCCCTTGCGCCGGTCAGGTAGCGCTTCTTGGGCCGGCTGTCGGTGAGTTCGAACTTTCCCTTAGGGTTGATTGAAGGCGTATTCATCTTGGAACTCTGCATAGAGTACGCGAAGATGATGACCAGGATAGTGGTCAAGAAATATGACAAGGGCTTCGCGGATCCATCGAGAGTGAACTTCGCCTCTCCTAGGGGAGAGCGAATTGTGTCGGTTGCGTCCATCGGTTGAGAGTTCGTCGGCAGGATAGGGCTGTTCGAGGTTGTGTAGCTCAATTACAACTTGTTCTGCTCCCGGTCTAGGTGTTGAAGGGGGAGGGATTTATGTATGTTTCGATGGAAAACATCGTCACCGCTTGAGGATCTCGGGCTCGAATTTCAATGCTACCCTTGCCCAGGAGCATGGACTCCACGGGCAGCTTCTGTTGCCGTCCACCTTCGGTCGGATGCTTAGCATCACCCCGTAAACGGGCGTGGACCCTTGACCCGAAAGCGAAGGCAGGGTCACGACGTGGTTGGGGCTGCGGGGACGAGCGGGCTGTATGTCACACAAGTGCCTAGGTCTGCAGATTCTAGACATGTCACATATGTGCAAGAATTTACCGCAGACCCATACAGCGTCTATTAGAAAAGGGCATATCGGCGTACACCGTGATGTGATTGTCAAAATCTCTCCAGCCCCCGTGACTAGCTCATCCTCGGATGTCTTGGTCTTGGTCTTGGTCTAACAAGCACAGCTTTCGTCAAGGCTCTTTTACCGGTAGCGCGGAGAGGAATCTGATCGACAGTCGCAATCATAGTTCGGACCATGTTGCGGTGAACACTCCAGCCATCGTACACACCCTCAGGAGTTGCACTGACAGCGCCTGACAAGACGACGGGTGTGCTCCGTTTTTCGGCAACTCTTACCGCTAGCCCCATGACTGAACGTAATCCGAGGGCAACCATTTGTCCATAGGCTCACACAAGAATACGAAAAATCTCATGCATGACGTCTGTAACCCTTTCCACGCGATTCACAATGCTCAAGGCCGACACGCGTTAGCTCCCCTAGCGCCCATCGGACCTCCACAAGGGATCCCCCCTCCGCCAAGCCGCAGCGAGCCTCAACCTCACAGGCTCGAGCATGAATGCTTGCCTGGTCTTGAGCCAATCCCACCGGTAAATGTGGTGCCTTTTAGCGGGGCGACCGGGCCGCCCATCGTTGTTGTCTCAGAGGTTCATTCACGATGCCGAGTCTGTTCGTGGTAGGCGGAGGAACTCCGTCCAAAAACTAGGACCGCTACACCCGCTTAATAAGCGGTTGGTCCGGGTGTGATTGGCGTGCCGGATAAGTTTCCGAATATTCCCTGGTCATTTCTTTCTTTTGGGATGGGCTTTGATGGAGATTTTCGCTCACCATGTCAAGGCTAAGCTGTCTGCCCACCGTCGATCACCATCGCGAGCCCACCTGTCATCGGATAAAACCCATCTCCAATAGGTACTTCTTACTATCAGATACTCAATGTAGCTATTTTCGCCTTCAAATTGTTGAAAGCACGCGCTGGAGTTTAGACCGGAGTTGTCATGAAGTGCTCCGCCTGAACCGAGGCTCGTCGTGGCCCCTGAGCCCGAATGTTGCCATTTCAGTCATGGACGAGCACACGGTCAAGTAGGTAGCCATCAAAGTCTTCTAGCCTTCTGCTATCCAGATTGAGTTTTCTCTGCCCTGCGGGGAGCGCTTCCAGATTGCGGCACGGTTAAGGTTTCCTTGATCGACGTATCTGCCGAAGGGACAGCCAGGCCAGGGGGTCGAGGACTTCGGAGAAATCCCACCTCCCGCAACCATGTTTGCCTAGCAACTTTCATCCCGATCGCACGAACTCTTCAATACGGATACGTGCACGAGTCGTCTCGAGCCTGGAGGACGCAGATGACAGGAAACGCAGTCGGCGCACGGGATAATTCACCAGCCCGTGAGACAAGACGATCCAACGGCCAGCGAGGTGTCCATGCTCCCGAAATGCTTGGTTACTTTGCGTGGATCAATACCAAGAACCAAGGTATCATGAACCGATGAAACCCCGTTCGTCATCTACTTGCCCGAATCGTCTCAAAGATGGTTGGGACTACAGTGAAGACAGAATCCAAGATGTTCCGAGATAGGCCATACGTTCAACGTCTTTGGTGGCCTTCACGGTCTGGATAGATGCCCGAGTATAATGTGCTCTCATTGGTCAACTCAGCTCCTAGGTCATTCTACACTTTGGAGGGATTCGAGTTCCCAAGAACCGGCCAAATGCTCAAGGCGGCTATCCTCGGGTTCTCCTTTGCAGTACTACTGGCCCAGGAATTTTGAAATCATTCATTGGACGATACCAAACTAACGGATAGTTGAATAGCTCAGCCACATGTTCCAGTTTGGAACCCAAGCATCAGAGCTCCCTGGACGAATGCGGCACGGCTGGAGGCACGGGAACGCTAGAACAGACAATGTCTCAGGCTCTGGAGGCGGCAGCCGGTAGCCACATGGGCCAGGCCGCTCGTTGTCAGTTCACCAGGTCTCACTTTTGCCCTTGGGTGCTGACGACAGAAGCCGCGGGAATTACATCTTCTCAAAACGGGCGTCCATTAATCCAGCATTCTTGTACCTTCGTAGTTTGAAGAATGCGTGTCGAAAAGCTTGACGTAAAGGGGTCAGGATCTTTGCCTTTCTCATTCCAGCAAAGTTGCTCATCACTCAAACTTGCTCGTCGCTTGCCTCGATGAAGATGCCGTTTCAGCCACGGAGTCGTCATAGCCTCAAGAATTTTGCCTTGCTTCTTGTCGTCGGCGTGTGAAATATGTCGGATCTGCGGGTAATCCCGTCGCGGATAGGATTCCAGCGCAGGATACCCTATGCTCTAAACGAGGCGTACCCGTGGTCGATGTCTTGAACCCTTCAATTAACCCCCATTCCACAGAATGACATGATAATCCGGTTCGAAGCCACGGGTTTCTTAACGCATCTTCATTCGTCGCAATTGCGCGACCTTTTAGGGCTAGAATGTTCAGGAACAGGGACTAGAGGCGGTAGCTGGAGACGGACCGCGTGTGTGATTTCCCCTCCGCGTGCAAACGGGGAACATTTGCTTGGAAGAAAGCCCACTTCGTGGATGCAAGCCATTGGCTGCAGTACAGACTACAAGTTCTGCCTTGAACCAGGACTGGCGGAACAGAAGGCGCTCTATTCTACCCATTCGGTTGCGATTTGCCGTCCAGAATATCGTATGACGCGATCCTTCATTTCAACCACGGGAAAATAGCGAATTCATGATCACGGACCCATTCCTGGCACCGAAACACTCAAAATGTGGCTGGCTGAAATACCAGTCGAACACACCTCCCTCGCCGGATTGCAATGTTTGGGCGTCCTGGCATTCGCATTTTCAGACTGAGGCGCCATTGAGGTGAGTTTTGACGAATTCAGCGACATTGGCTCCTGTGGTTTGTCAGCGCGAGAGGCCATCGATAGCTTCTTCTCGCTCGTACTTATTCTGAAGACAGGCCCTCTCTGATATTCTCCTTCCATATCCTATAAGAAGCAGACTTGTATCCGCATCAAAAGCTCTATCATGACTCTCATAGACTCAATCACAAGCCTACCTTTCCGCAAACCTGCTCAAAGCCCCCAAGAACCTTCACTTTCGTTGACATCAACCTCATCTGACACCATGGCCTCTCTCATTCCCGTCAAGGAGTCCGACATCTCCATCGTCTACAACTCCAACACTCGCGAGCTTGTTCTCGCGGCCAAGGGCGAGATTCCCAAGGTTTTCTTGACCCCTTTCTTCAAGCAGGAGTCCGTCCTCAACACTGGCCTCACCTTCTCCATCCGAGCCTTTGCTGGTGGGTTCCCCCCCCAGAAGGGCGAGAAGTCTTTCGAAATCAAGCATTCGGTGCACATCAACCTGCCCCTGCCGCACTTCAACAACAAGACCGTCTTGATCGAGACCGCCAGCGGCAACTTCAGCGTCGAGATCAAGTACACCGGCTTCGGGCCTGGCCCCGTCGTCCGCGGGGACAACGGCAGCGAGGAAGGTACCACCTACCAAGACGTCTTGCCTCCTATCAAGCGGTTCCTCCCTGCCGACCAGCCCCTGCGCATCACTGCGAACATTCCCAAGGTCGAGGCCCCCAGTCGTGTTAACATCGAGCCGTCCTACAACCCCGAATTCCTCGAGTTGATTCATTCGACGGTCCAGGAGGGAAGCATTTCCTGGACTTTTAAGTGGAAGAAACTTCCCACCGAGGAGGGCGCGAACCCCCAGCTGATCGACGTCACCACTCACCAATACAACGGCCTCGTCGGTCCTGCTGCCCGCAACTACATCACCATTCAGGGCTACGTTGTCCTCTTCGTCGTTTTCGAGAAGAAGTAAGGATAGCCACATCCGACCTCTGAGTGGCTTTTCAATGGAATTCACATGTCTACTTAGGGGTACCAATGTAGTTCGTGGCGGAGATGTCGTCGAAGGCGGTTGGCACGTGGTGTGAACCTGGAGTGGATCTTGGCTCTTATTCTACATGTTGGACTCCAACTTGGATCTCGTTATCTATATCGATACATTTATTTTTTCATTGATTCCCACTGTTAAGCTGTCTCAACCACCAGGCCTCATGCACTTCAAGACATTCCATGGCGAGGCACCTGTTCTGCATTTCATGATCATTAAAGGTTTGGCCCAAGTCTGGCAGCATATGTAGTCTCACATGAGTTCTTCGGGTCAAAGTCTCTCTATTCGGAAAAGTCTTCAGCGATCTGATTAGTCAAAAAGAAACTCCCAAATGATTAGCTGAGTGTCATAATGCGCCTTTATCTTGTCCATCTCGGCACTCTCGCGGACTATTAGTAGTTAGTCTGTGGTTTATACTTATTATCTTTTCTACCAAAACGGACTCTATTTAGAACGGCCACCTGCTTCTAGTCCGAGACTGTAAACCTTAAGCTCAGGCCCGCATACTCTGGGTCTGCGTTGAACGCAAACCCTCTTGAGCCTCCCCACACCGTGACCTCTGTGATCCTCTTGTTGCCGAGGGCGGCCTTGTGTTGTATGAGGAACAAAGCCGCCCCAGCACCATGGGTGCTGCCAAGGATGGCAAGACCCTCCTCTGTGTCCATCGAGAGTATCACCCTGTCGTTCCATCCCGGTACGGACTGATGTCCCTTGTTATACAGAGCCTGCAAGACAACGTTGAAACTAGGGCGGTATGTGATATTGCTGCGGTAGATGAGCCTGACATTGCTCGGGTGGACGCCCTTCGCCTGGCAAGCATCGAGCCACTGGAAGTAAACCATATCAGACAGCTGCTCCAGATCAGGGACGTCCCCAATTTTGTTTTTCTCAATTTGGTAGCGAGGACTGAAGTTTCTGTCAAAAATGATAGCGCCCGATCTTGGGTTGAGGACGTTCTGGTAAGAAGCGCCTGTTGCCTGGAGGGGGGACGAAGCGCATTAGAGGACTAGAGTTCCAGATGAACAAGTTTGGTGGACAGTCACTTACAGCTCCAACGCTAGTACCGTCGCGCTTGTAGAAGTTATTTTCGTGCTTGTAAGTGGACAGACCATTCTCTGCCGGGTCGACTGGATAACGTGGGTCCGCGAATGTGACGTCCAAGAGGTTTCCGAACCCAGGCGTCGCATCAAACTCGTCGAAATCTGAGTCGAAACCATCATCGTCCGACGCCGCCTCGTCGTCCACGGTGTTAAAGGGGGACCAGTTCATCTCGCGAGTCCATCCCCAGCGTTCAACGGCCCTGGGATCCTGCCACGGCGTGGCGACGGTGACTCCGCTGTTCTGCTGCTTTGCCGCCGAGTCGCTGAGTGGGAAAAGTGACTTGAGGTAGGCTCCCTTCTGAACACGACCATTGTAGTTGCCAGGGAAGTCTGGGAACTGTCCCTGTACTCGCTTGCTGAGAGGCTCGCGCAAAGAGTCGATGTTATTGGTGCTTTCGCCGCCCGTTACTGGGGTGGGAGAAGCACTGATCACGGTCGCTTGGATGAAAAGGAGTGACAGCAGAAAGTGGAGGCCCTTGGAACCGAGGGAACGAACGGTGCTAGCCATTATGACTTGTTATCGTTGATCGCATGCCAAAGAAAGGAGCAGAAGGGGAGGATATGCGCTCGAATTTGAATACAGCGGGGCGGTACCTCTTGTAGGCGATAGAGATCCCATTGCATTCAGATTCGCCGGTCAAGGCGACCAAGAGAAAACTCCGAAAGGGATGCGAAATTAAGGATTCCGATTAATTTTTCGAGACTTTCTGCTCCAGCGATGAACAAACTGGTGTTCGTCCCCGGCGGCGCCGCGGGATCCGGAATTGCCTAGTGGCCAGTGTGTAACTCACTCAGTTCGGCATCTATAAATAGGCCATTCATCCAAAGAGCGATAGAAGCTGGTCACACAACTTTGCGCGCATACATAGGTAATACACTCGGGTTTTCTTTTTTGCCAAGCTATCATCAACAGACGAATGCAGACACATGTTATTGCTTCATTATGCACCATGGATAAATTAGCTGGTCCACCGTCCCGGCGATGCCAATCGATGAAACTTAAAAAGATTACCAAATGCTGTTCCCAAAGCGGCAGGACTACTCCGAGCCCACTGGTGTACCTGGTTCAACACATCTATCGTGATCACTTAGGTATATATTCACTCGCCCAGGGGCATTGTTCCAACATTACCCGCCTGATGGAAGAGCTCTTATCTTGATTCACATCTCCTTCCACAGACGCCATGATCTTGAGAGCTCAGTACTTTCTCACAGTATGCCTATTCTTTTCAGAGGCTGCCGTGTCAGCTATCCTACCTCGCGACGGCGATGATTACGCCGGACATCCGGAGGTGAACCATGACCAAGTAGCAGCATTCAAACAAGACTCTTCCCCCGGAATAGACGGACGCCTCGAACTCATGTTCAACCCTCTGCTCGTCGTTACAGGAGGTTGCGACCCGTATCCTGCAGTCGATGCCAACGGGGGTCTTGGGTGAGGAAATTTCATGCACTGTTTCATAGTAGATCAATGGCTAATGGAATCTCGCAGAGGTGGTCTGAGACCGACTGGTGGTGGAAGGTCAGGCTGTGGTAATGGCGGCACTGGCCAGGTCTATGCTCGCCGCGGCAGTAGTCACGGCCGTGACGCTATTATTTACAGCTACTACTTCCCAAAGGTTCGATGGGGAAAAGGCGACAACAAGGGACATCGTCATTACTGGGCCAGCGTCGTCGTTTGGATCAACCAATGGAGCTGTGATCCCGAGAAGCCCTCATCATACCGACCAGTGGGGATGTCATACACAACCGACCACGCAACATGGGGCTTCGAACCTATTACCGGTGGCCTGACATCCACAGCCTCTCCCGAGAGTTCTTCGCCGACGAGTTTCATTGTCCAAATCCACGACAACGCCATGACACCGTTTAAAGACGCCGATATTGCCGCGGCTTCTCAGCGCACACTGATCTCTTGGATGTCACTACCCGTAAAGGCGCGTGAGGCTTTGACTGACGTCAAGTACGAAAAGACCACAGTGCCGTTCACCGACGCCAACATCCAGGCCTCTTTGGACACTGCCTACCAAGAGAGCTTTTACACAGGGTTAAAGGACGTACAGGACTGCAACACCACTATCCCAGAGAGTGATGGAGCTGACTTAGATCCTGACGAAAATCCCGAGGATAAAGCCCCAGAGGCAATCCCTCTCCCCCCTGTAACAGTTTAGTTATACATATCAAAATGAAAGCATCACGCATCTTTTCCGTTTGATAGCTTTCTTATCTCAACTTCACATGCATCTAGATGAGATGCGCACCTCATCTATGCGCATGTATCACAAGGAATCCTGCTCGCCAGTTGGCGAGAGTCTACGTACGGCATACGTGTTGTAATTATCCGCAATTGCGCTCCAGCAACCGTGGTTCCACCTTTGCGATGGGTAGTAAGGTATTGTGAATGCACCCACCCAATTAGATTTGACCAAGGTGCATGTTGTGTTACCACACCTCTGCCAAGACGAGTGCTGCAGTCAATAGTGGCGGCTCACTTGCATATTAAGGCAGGCTACGGAAGATGACAATCGTTCCACATCGAATTTGGGGTCAATCAGGGTATTGAAGTCAGGTTAAAGCCCACATCCCCTCCCGACATGTTCTCCAAATGTTCGTTTCTCATTCGGAAGGCCTCACCAGTAGCGATCTGTCCTCACCGCCATGGCACTTTCTAATAAGCCACCATTATTCTCGTTCCCGAAAACCGAAATTCCGGGCTGGCTTTTCTTTTGCATTTTCGTGGCATTCGCTTCAGTCCGAGCTAGAGCAGCCTCCGCAGACTCTGATGCCGACGATGCCTTGTCAGATTTCACGAACGACTTGTTCACGGATCTAGGGCCTCTTTTGGCTTTGTTCGGTGAGCAAATGACGAAGCAATACATTAGCGAAAGTACAACCTATTACGACTACTTCATATTTGGCATGGGTCCCATCGGTGTTATCACGACTATAGTGTCTACTATCCGCCTCTGTGGTCCCGCATCTCTCCGTGCTTTCATTGGAAGATCTAAAGAGGGCAACAGTACGATCGAGGCAGAGCTTTGTACTTCGACAAGTCGTGATGTATGCGAGGTTTTCAACAATGGCGGTATTACTCGTGTCCTGGGCCGACCCAAACTTCTCGAGCTCATCCATGTGCCGAAGAAATACCTCTCCGTTGTGGAAACCAGCCGCGAGATGAACAGGGAGACTGGCTTGTATCTATTTCGAGACTTCTTAGAGGATGCTGGCTGTGGAAGGGACTCAGATTCAACAACGCCGCCGGAATGGAGTCGCTCTCGGCCTGAACGGCTTAGTCCAGCTTCACAAAATCCGCCCAACCTATCGCTTAACGTCGGTATCACTCAATATGACCCATGGATCTTTCGCCTCGTTGCCTCAGCTGGGTTAATGCTCCAAGCCGGCGTGCTTGTGGTTGCCGGCGTAGGCGTCTGGGTCTTGGATTGGAATCTAAACGAGAGTACGACAGCATCAACGAATTACGCGCCAACCATGTTCATTATGGGCACAGTGTTCATGTGTGGGGGAATGTGCGCTTCCATCGCCATCATTGGTCAAGCGACCACAGAAGTCCGGTGCAGACGGGCACCCGCTGTCACTGGCTCACCCGTGACGTCTCTCATATGGCTGCAGCCTCGACAGGTCATAGCTGACCAGAGTTTTGACGCGTATGCTTTCATTGAAGACCCCGAAAAACCACTCTTGGTTTGAACATCTTCCATGAAAACTTGGGACTTGGATCCTGGCAGCGAACGCAGATTCAACTTAGCGACATGCATTGCAGTTTCAGCAGTCCTCGTTGGGTATATACTACAGTTCATTGGGTTGAGAGGCATGAGAGCCTGGGTTTCAATTGCCCAACTCATCACGACCGTTGTCATGAGCATCCTGAGAGGGATGCTTCGAATGCAGCGAGTTACGAAGAATGACAATCAGTTGTTGAGTAAGGCGGATCTAGTCCAAGGACACGAGATTGACTGGCTAGCCGTAGAGATCTCTCAGCGTGAAAGTCTGGATGAACAGTCCACGTCCAAGGAGGGCCACACAAATTTTACAGTGAGCCTCTCGATGTGTTGCCTTTGAAGTATTAACAAGTCGCTAATACCGAAGCAGGAAACGAGACCGCTCTCTTCCTGGGACACGGAATCCGCGACCAGTACTCCACAAAGTTATCAAAATTTGATGAATCTCAGAGTCTGCCTTACTAGCATGACTGATAGATTTCCTCCGCATGCGAGTCTAACGCGATCAAAGCATTCACAAGTTCCGTGGGGCATCGAGAGTTCCAAGGTTCATGAAAAGGCAGCCGAGCTAGCAGTTGCACTTGAGCAGGTCGCAAATATCTTGTGCAAAGGAAACCGAAAGAGGGTAATCTCCCTGTACTTGCCAGGTTCTCAATTATGTCGACCACCAGGCATCACAAACGGAGGCTCCCAGATTGATAATGGTTTCAAAGTTAACCTTCGACAACAGAACGATCAATATCCATCCAGATGGAGCATTGATCGCGTGGAAATTGAGGCGGCTTTGGGTCTTGCTTTATGGTGCCTCATTTCCGACCGTCGTTTATTGTACTGCGAGGTAAACTCTCGGCTTGAGTCCACTAGAGCTGAAGATGTGCGAAAGAATCGAATTATATCAGCTGGCCTGGACCCGCACAAGATGTATGGAGAGCTGGAGCTGGCTTGCTGGCGTGGAATGCTCAACATCAGACAATGGGTAGTCTTTCCCGAACATGATGAGTCCGAGAGAATGACGCTTCCGTTGGATGCAGACCTCGACAGCTATAGCCTTGGAAGTCTATGGCAAGTATATCAACCACGCGCGGCATCGGATTCGCCTCTCAAACACCTCAGGGAGAGAGGTTGGATAGAAACAATGGGACAAAATGTGGCTATCGCGGAGCTGCAGGTTTCAGAGATCTTCCTAGAGCGATTGTGTGGCTGGAGCTGTGTCCTGAGAGCGCAGCAAAACATACAATGGACTAAGCAATCATTGTCTAAAAAGGCACTTGGACATCCAAACGAGCTCGCCAAAACGATGTGTGTTCAATTCAGGGCAACGAACTCATCTCTCTTGGAGATCTGCGTCCAAGAACTCTTTGGGGCTTTCTTAGCTTCGTTGCAGATGGAGGGAGGCCACCAGGACAATTGCGCACCAGTTCAGACAACGTTCGATGTACGACAACTGGAGAAAAGGGCTCAGACCATCAATGCTATTTCGCAAATCTTTTCGGGGTCTGGCCTAGGCTCTGATGCGGATGCAATCTATTGTATTCTGCCGGCTCTTGAAAATCGACAAATTGGTGACCTCGACCAAGGTATTTCGATCGTTTCATCGACTTGCGACTCATTGCTAAAGAGATCTGAGTCAACAGAAGCTTTAACGATAGCAGAAACTGCTATCTTGGCCCTTCGTGATCCGGAAACCAAGGAGCAAGAGCAGTCTCTAGCGCGAGCTCTTTCTGTGCTATCTAAAATCCAGAGGTTTGAGATGCGCAATGACAGGGGCCCAAGAATACGCACACATTATAAGTCAAAGCACCCACTTTCCGGCCACCCCTGCATTCCGGCCACCCAAAAATGATGCATTCATAACAACCACCACTTTATTAATCAACTATCGACTGGGTATCGCTGCCACTATTATACAGCTTTCGGCCTCACTAGGGTAATCAGAGGCGCTGGATTCATGTGTATCATCGAGGGCATCGCCAGCCTCAATCTGGGCCTGCCGTACGTCGCTAATGGTCGCGAACTTCGTGTTTGGGTCGATGT